TTTGCGAGCCAATTAGATCGTTCACGGGCCGCGGTGACCCCTGAACTCCCCCCCCCCGTAAATGTCCATCCGTCCAAACACTGGGCACAGCGACCTTCTCCCCTCCCCTCCCTTCCGCTCCGCTGCGCTCCCTGGTTTTTGTAAATGCTGTATTTTCAGGGCTTATCTAAAAAACCCTATCGATTAAGACTTAAGTCTTATAACAAGAGAGTCCCTGAAACCCTATAGGGTTTAAGGCTTATAAAGCCGATAGGGTTTGGGGTTAAACCTGAAACCTGAACCTTTAGATCCATAGGGTTTCAAGGTTAAGCAATTACGCCTAAACCCGGAACCTTCAAAAGTTCTCACGGGGTTAGCCCTATAGCATTTGAACCCTATAGGCCTACATAGGCCTATAGGGTTCAACAGTTTAGGGCTTAAGGTTTAGGCATTGCCGAAAGGATTAGAGCCTGAGAAACTCTATAAGGCTTGAGGCTTAAGTCCCTAAACCTAAAATCCCATATGGTTATGCCTCTGTTTATAGGCCTTGGTGGAAATGCAAAGAATAAGCAGAATAAGTACCCACACCAGGTATCGGGTTCAAAGGTTTAGGGGTCTTCAAGGTTTATAAGCCCGTACCCACGCCAGGTATCGGGTTCAAAGGTTTAGGGTCTTCAAGGTTAAAAGCCCATATAGTTTAAGCCGTCAGGGCTTACGGCTTAGGCATTCAAATCTGAATCCTAAGCCCTTTCGGGTCAGAACCCTGAAAGCCTATGGGGCTCTAAAAGCCTCAAAAGTTTTAACCCTGTTGGCGCTGAAGGTATACGTGCCCAGACCTTAGGTCTTTAAACCTTTAAACCCCTTAAAGTTTAGCGGTTCAGGATTTTTCAAGGTTGATGTCTAAAGCCCTCACGGGTTAGCCCTATAGGGTTTAAACCCTAGAGGCCTATAGGGTTCAAAGGTTTATATGGTTTAAGGTTGAGGCGTTACCTATAAAATTAGAACCTTATAACCGTGTGTACGACTCACCTTTACGTACTATGTGAGGGTTCTGTTTCCCCTTTCAAAGTTTTAAGGGCTTTAAGGAATTTAAAGGACCCTTCAGTTCTTTAAAACCCTTAAACTCTTTAAAAACTTGAAAGGCCTCTGGCTTTCAAAGTTTTAAGTATTTTAAGGAATGCAAAAGGCCAATACAATCCGTAAAATCTAGAAAAAAGTTTAAAAATATCTTGGGAAAGGCCCGGCCCTGTACAGGCCGGTACAAATCGGTACAAGTTGTACCGGCCCCGGGCCCTGGAACCAAGAACCAAGAACCAAGAATAAATATATAAATATATAAATATATAAATATATAAATATATAAATATATAAATATATAAATATATAAATATATAAATATATAAATATATAAATATATATAAATATATAAATATATAAATATATAAATATATAAATATATAAATATATAAATATATAAATATATAAATATATAAATATATAAATATATAAATATATAAATATATAAATATATAAATATATAAATATATAAATATATAAATATATAAATATATAAATATATAAATATATAAATATAATAAATATATAAATATATAAATATATAAATATATAAATATATAAATATATAAATATATAAATATATATAAAATATATAAATATATAAAATATATATAAATATATAAATATATAAATATATAAATATATAAATATATAAATATATATATATGAATATATAAATATATAATATATGAATATATAAATATATATATATATATAAATAATATATAAATATATAAATATATAATATAAAATATATATTAATATAATAATATATTTATATAAATATATAAAAAAATATAATAAAATTTTATAAATATAATAAATTATATTATAAATATATATATATATTATAAATATAATAAATATATAAATATATAAGATATATAAATTATATATATATTATATAAAATATAAAAAAAAATATAAATAATAAATATATAAATATAAATATCAACAAATATATAAATATAATATATATAAACGTAAATATAAATATCAACATATATATATATATAGATTTTTATTTAAAGATATATATATATAGATATATATATATATATAGATATATATATATATATATCTAGATATATACATATATATCTATATATAGATACACATCATTATATATATATATATACACATCTACATACACATACATCCTATGTGTGTATATATATATATATATACATATGTATGTATGTGCATATGTATCTTCTCCAAGGTCAGGTATCCTGAGATCGGCGATGTTCCCCAGGACGTATCCAAGCCTGGCGCTTTGCCAGTAGGGGTTTGAACCAAGAACTGCGCACTTGAGGGAAGAAAAGCGCCACCGCCCGACATGTTTTTCCGGCTCTCCGCCTCAGGAAATCAGCGACACTATTGAGATATGAGGTGGACTCCATGGATTGAGTGGCATGCAAGCCTTCCAAGGGGGTTGTCTCCCGGAATATGCCAGAATGTTAAAGTTTGATTCGCTGCCGTTGTGGGGGTTTGCTCGTTGGAGCCTGCGGCTTGTGAGGTTCGAATTGCAGCTCCCTTTCTGCGGCGAAGACCTACAGGTAAGGTCGTTCAAGGGCTCTCCCAGTTCTCGGCAGTGTCAAGATACCGCCAAGAAGTAGACAGCCCTCTCTTTCTTCTAGGTACTTTCCTGCCAGGGATTCCTGAAGAACCCCCCAGCTCAGGCCTAGGCCCCAAAACCACAAGGGAGAGGATACCCGGACCCCACATTCCGCAAGACTAAGTGACGCAAACGGCCTACCGTTACCGTTGTCAAGTGTCAGTGGCATCAAATGCGCAGGGAAGGAATGTTGGGAGGGGAGTGAAAGCCACTTGGATTGGCGCTGCATCTGGCTTGTAAGTAGGGTTAACGTTACCTCATAGTCAGAACCCGACTAATAAGGACCCGTGCACCTCCATGAACAGCACTCGGACGGAGGCCACTTCGAATCCACTTCTTGCGTGGCATTTGCTGGCTCGAGCTGTACTTTTGTTCCCACTTTCACTGTGTGTGGCAGAGTGCCGGGAACCTTGCGGTATGTTCATGTGTGTTGTTGTGACGCAGCAGCCACGTTCGGAGCCACAAACTGCCAGATTTGGAAGTGGCTTGTGGCCGAGGTCTGCCATGGCAGAGTTGGTCACATTGACAGGAGGCAGAACGAGGGTGGCGCCTGATTATTCACTCGCCGCAGGTTTCTGGCCAACGTTTGAGGGTGTTTCTCCCCGCAAACTTGACTTTCTCCCTTCTCAGGCCCGGCCTTCGTTGTGCTGCCCTCGTCCACGGCCACCAATTTGCGTGCTACAGGACTGCATTGTCATCGTCTCCGTAATGATGCAGAACAGAGAGCAAGATGTCGAGAACGAATTGATTGTGGCGGCTTTCAGTCTGTGCTTTGGATGCGTGTGTGTGCAAGAGAGAGACAGAGAGAGAGTTTACTTTTTCAAACGCCCCATCCGAAAATCTCCGACCCCCACAAACGTGGGGGCACAGGCAAACTGACCATCGGACGATGCGCGCCCCTGCAAGCCGGCCCTCCTTCGGGGGGGCTAAGCGTGCGGAGAAAGAGAGTTTACTCGGCGCGGGGGCTTCCCCTTGCCACAAAAAAAAAAGAGGAGTCAGACGTCTGGACAGGTATGTTCGCGCAAAGTATGTGTGTGTGTGTGTGTGTGTGTGTGTGTGTGTGTGTGTGTGTGCAGGGCATTCTGCTTCGGCACCCAGTTCAGCCGCCTCCCAGGCCGCTGTCGGGTTGAAGCGGAGTTGGATAACAAGGGACCTATTCCCAGCAGCTTGCATCTTCGTCTCCGCTCGGGATCAGATGCAGTCATGATGCAATCCCTCAACCCTCAACCCTCAACCCTCAACCCTAAACCCTAAAACCTAAAACCTAAACCCTACACTGTCTCGCCTCGTCTTCAGTTCAATGCCGTTTGCAGGGACCTCGAGCTGCTGCAGCTGCAACTGTGGCAGGAGCGCCGCGGAGTTTCCAGGTTGTGGCGTTTGTGGGCACCCCGTTTGGGGGCTCCCTAAACCCTAAACCCTAAACCCTAAACCCTAAACCCTAAACCCTAAACCCTAAACCCTAAACCCTAAACCCTAAACCCTAAACCCTAAACCCTAAACCCTAAACCCTAAACCCTAAACCCTAAACCCTAAACCCACCACCCCCCCCCCCCCGGCAGCTCCGCGGCTTCCCTTCAGGAGGCTTTGCTACGCTTGGGCCGGAGGGTGGGCTTGGGTGGCGTTTTGAACTTCAACAAATAAACGAACGAGTAAACAAATGGTTAATTAAAACACAAATAAATCAGAAAGCAACAATCAAGAAATAATATGTACAAGTAGATGTATGTATGTACTCAAGTACTGTGCACCTGGGGTGCTGTGCGGTCTCGAAGTGCCCGAGGCAGGCATATGCAGAGCATATTTTTTCGTCCGATGTTTTCAGAAGCAAAGCGTTTCACAACAGCCGGTGTTGAGACTCACGTCTGGCCAGGGCTTGCTGCTTTGGTGTCGCACGGCTCCAGGAGGCAGGGCTATTGCAAAGGGCGCGTGGCACTCCTTGTGCTCACCTGGACCTCGAGAGCCTAGCAGATCCCAGCAGTTGTTTAAGAAGTGGCTTGTGTATGGGGTGCGAGAACATACGACAACAGGCTCACGGAACTTGCAGGATTGTACGGGGGAAACAACTACCGCGTGATGGCGCTAACAAAGCCGCTAGTTAAGCTCGTGTGACTGTTGCGAAAGTGGTTGCACGTCCGGACGACCGCCCTCGCTCAGGTCGCGAAGGACCGTGCTGAAGGCCGCTACAGAACTTCCCACTGTGGATCGAGCCGGAGCCCTGGAATCCCTGGAAGCCTGACCGCCTGAGGGAAGCCGAGTTCTTCGGGCTTTGTGATAGACTATGCCTCGAGTATTCTGATGATGGCTTTCGTGGACCTAGGTACACTGCATGTTGGTTACATGCTTCGCGCGTATAGGCTCTTCGACTCTGCCATCGTTTCACTGCACTCGGCATCTTCAGCCCATGCCGCCCTCGCAGGGCCCCACTTCGCCTGGTGTTGCTCGCGTGGCCTCCGCGGCGGAGGTCCTGCCCCAGCTGCGAACTGCCGGCGCCTGCATCCTGGAGGGTGCTGGGACCTCGCGGGAGGAGGCCAAGGCGTTGCCGCGGCGGATCTTCGGCGCGGCCCTGGCAGCGGCACCGGAGCCGGCAGAGGTCTCGGAACGGACTCTGGGTGCACGTGGCATTCGCAAGGACGACTCCTTCCGGGCTCACACTGATGGCCACGCATACGGAGACCTCTTCCCGGACTACTTCCTGCTGCTCTGTGCACATGCGAGTGAACAGGGGGGCGGGAACTTTATCATTGACGGCTATGCAGTCCTTGACGGGCTAGCAGAAGACACGGACACTGCCTGGGTAGTGGAGGCACTGGAAACAAGGCCTGTTGATCAAACGTCCCGGCTGCCGAGCATAACGCCCGTCGTTCTGAGGGCCCCTGATGGGCGGCGCGCCCTGCGCTGTCGCCTGTCCGGTCCGCCTTCAGCGTTTGCAGCGCAAAGGGTCAGCCCAGACTCCGACGACCCGGATCAGGATTCACGAATGTTGGCGATCTACCATCAAGCCGTGGAGGAAGCTGCCGAAGCGGCCGGCAGGATCTACCTGCGGCCAGGGGACGCGCTGATCGTCGACAATTACCGCATGTTCCATGGCCGTGACCCCTACGTTGATCCGAATCGCCTGCTGTGGCGCTGTTGGATTTGGACCTGTGCTGCGAGGGGGATCCCAGAATCAGAGCTGCACTCCACTCCTGGCGACACCGCCGGCAGAGTGTGCTCCGATGAGGCACCCCTGAAACGGCAGCGGCTAGAGGAGGGACCAGACAGGTGCAGCTAGTGAAAAAAGAGCTGGAAGGTCCTGACAGCGTCTTAGCACAGCTTGGAGTGAGTCCGTTGCTAGGCCACCACGAAGCAATGGAGGCGAGACCTGATGAAGCCGGCAACCAAGTTGCAATCAACGCCGGTGACTGCTAGTGCGCCTGAGGGAGCAGGATGTCAAAGCATCTTACTTGAGATTGCAAGATTTGAAGTCTGGTGCGTGCGACGTGTGTCACCCGACGTCTCGCCCACAGTACCGTAGTCTCGTAATACGTGCTGACCAGGTCCGACCAGTACTACAAGTTTGGCAGGACCCTGGCTTGCACATGTCCAACTTTGCAAGATATGGTCGTGGGCCCGCCTGGGGCGTGACTCCTGGAGCTCAGAAGCCTGGTCGTTGCACAATGCCAGCAGCTTCGGCCTGTTATCATCTTCAGGAGCCAGATGGAGAACGCCATGAACCAGCTGCAGGAGGCCATGCCATGATCTGTTTGGGATGCTCTTGGGGCTCACAAATTACCAATTTCACACAGTAGCCTCATGCTATCAAAAGTCATGTGCAATGAGTGTGATCTCGTGAAGGCCCCTGTATCGCCATTGATCACAGAAACTTTGACACAGGGTGTAAACTGTACTGGGAGCTCTAGCAGCTCACCCGGCTTGCAGCTCTGTTGGGATTGCCTGCAATGCGATTGCCTCAATGGATGAACGAGCCGCGCCGACCTTTTTTTGGGAGCTCCTGCACATGTGTCCGTGACGATCAGAAAGCCCGTGAATGTCCATCATCACCGCTTGGAAGCATATTCAAAGCGTAGGATTCCAGCATGCAGGTCAGTGGCAGCGAGCTACTGAGCAAGGCATTGGGCCTGCCACAGTTTGTGCAATTCTACTAATGTTGAGTATACTAAGTATACTAACATCTAAAGACTACTAGAGCAGTACAATTTTTATAGCAATGTTGTAAATCACCTAGGACAGACTTGAAGCTTAGACAGCTGCTGTCGAAATCATTTCAAGCGTGTCGGCAGCCTGGCCTTGTTTCTGTCCCTTCCTGTCCGCAGATTCGGCAGAACGGCTTTCGCCTCACAGTGACTTGGCTTGAACGAAAATGTCGTGCCTACAGGGTTTTGCAAGGTGGAGAAGTGCTGGCATTCCCACAGCAAGAATATTGGCTCATTCTCCAGTGAAAAACTACCAACACACTGGACGTTTTGCGTTGCTGCTTGGGCCTGTGTAGGTCGGCGACATCACCTTCGTTTTGGCCGAGCGAGGCCCTGAGTGCTCAGCATTAGGTACTGACACTGTTAAGCTCGCCATCTGTTTTGTGGCAGTGACGGTCCAAGTTGTTTGTTTCTGGGTGGTGTGCGATTGATACACTAAAGGTCCTACGGCTTTTGCTGGGGCGTGGAGCGTGCCGTGGCTATGGCATACGAGGCGGAGCGGGTTCGTGACGCTCGTTTGGTTCCGTAATCAGGCGTTATGTGAACAGGTCCGGCCAAGCTTTTGTGTGGAAAGATGATCTGATGGCAGAATGTAGCCTCTGGAACCTGGTCTTTCGTGCAGTAATGCGCAGGCTCGAGACTTCTTTCCAGACAAGAACATCTGGGTCACGCCGCCGACTCACTTTCACTAAGGTTCTCTTAGAGGCCAGAATGTGTGACAGCTCCGAGCTTTGGGTTGTGCAGCGCAAACGAGGAATGAGATCATTCACAACCCATCAGCCAGGGCCCCAGATGGGCGGCACGGAGACGAGGGGCTCTTAGCGAATCCTCCACCCCTAAACCCCAACCCTCAACCAGGAGCTCCCACTATTCTTGCGGGCTTCTGAGGTGAACAAAAACCTCTCTGACAAAGGGATGAGCTTTGTGGAGACGACGAAAGATGGCGGCAAGGTGGGGCGTGTCATATCTTTTAAAGGGAAGGATGCTGAATCAATCGATGAACGGTTCGAGATATTCTGTAGACATGGGGAGGCTGTACAACGCATCGCAAAGGACGACAACCAACGACAAGCAGAATGGGAGCCCACAAGCGGTACCTCCTAATCATTGGCAACCTCCCTGTGTATCGAGAGAGACGGACTGGCCAAGAACAAGAGCTTTAGTGCAGGAACATATGCAGACTGAGCTAATTACAGTTTTACGCTCAAGGGGCTTATGGGGTTTAAGGAATTGGATGAGTTGCACCTTTGCGAATGCCGTGTCCACCCACGTCCCTAGATAGATCGGTAGAACACTAGGGGAGACCCAAACTCTAAATTTCCAACACGCAAGCCGCACAAGTTGCAACCATCAGCACCGACACAGTTCAAGCCTTACCAGTTCACAGGACTCAGGAAAGTTTCCGGCCCCTACCCCCAGCAGAGAAAACTGCAACGCAAAAGAGTCAACAACAACAGAACACTGAGTCGAAAACATGGAGAAAACAAGAACCGGCAAAGAGCCACGGGAAATAACAAAGAAAGCGTGCCAACCACCGTCTTATTCGTTTGTTGATTATGGTGCAACGAAATGGCTCGAAGGCGCGGATCAGGTCAAAACGCTAACGAACTCCGGATGTGCACTGTCACCAGTGGCTGGACGGGCGAGACAAGCGCATGAAACCAGAGTTCGGAGGGGAGAGTCCTACGGCACCGGTGAATACTGGATCAAGAGTATCTTCCAGAACCTCGCATGAGACAGCAGAAAGAACCCTAAACCCTAAACCCTAAACCCTAAACCCCCCAAACCCCGAACCCTGAACCCTAAACCCCTCCTTTCAGTGACAGGACTACTCCGGGGTGCAGGAGGGCGATGCCTCAGGCTTAGTTGAACCTGGACATCGCATCCCACTTCGAGCGATCGCAGCGGCCACGAGGTCGTCATTCTGCCGGCCTTTGGCGCGTCCGTCGATGAGATGGCGCTTCTGAAGGTCGGCCCTGGGTGTGTTCACTCTTTCATGTCTTCTGTTTTTACATACCGGCAGCTCTCGCGATGTTTGGGGCCGCGCTCCAGAGTTGTAGCTTGTCATAGCTTTTAGCAATGGCAGAGCGTGGCATCCCACTTGTGTTTCGGCTTTGGCAGGGTTGGTCCACTGTTGGTACGCTTGATTGCGCTGCTCTGGAAGGAGCGAAAGGTGCAGATCGTCGACACAACTTGTCCCTGGGTGTCCAAGGCCAACGACACATTCCGACACACTCCGACGTGTGAATTGCCATTGATCTGTTCCAGTTGCTCCCACACATCGTCTCTCTTCTTCCCTACGTCCTGCGCGAAACCCAAGTAGCCCTAAACCCTAAACCCTAAACCGTAAACCCTAAACCCTAAACCCTAAACCCTAAACCCGAAACCCTAAACCCTAAACCCTAAACACAATTCCGCCATGTCGAGGTCTGGGCCTCGGTCGAGCGGAGCAAGGCGCGGCTTCATAAGGTCCCCCTCATGGATCCCAAAATAGTAGTTTGGGGTTTAGGGTTTAGGGTTTGGGGTTCTCCTTAAACTCAGGACCCCAAGAAGGTAGCCCCCAAACATAGTAAACCCCCCATAAAGAAGCCCAGCTACAGCTTGAGAGTTGCGTGGGTGCTCAAGTGCTTTGGCGTGAAAGGGCGGAGAAGTTTAGGGTGTAGGGTTTGGGGTTTTGGGTTTTGGGTTTAGAGTAGGTTTAGACCTTTCAGGAAAACAGGGGCACCATGTTGCATGGAAAGGATGTGCTCAGCAAGTCTGTTGCTGCCATCTGCTGCAGGACAAGGACCACACTGCCATCATCCACGGCAAGTGCTGCTGGCAGCGTTTGTTTTGGAGACCTCAGGTCGTTTCCGAGAGCACAGGACTTGAGAAGTTGCCGGCTGCAGAACATGTCTGCGGAAATAGTCTCTATGTTTGCTCTTCCCTCGCGGTTCCGACCGACGAGTGCAATGTTTCGGGGGGGGGGCCGAAGCGAACGAAAAAGACGTGAAGAGCTTGTGCTGCACTTCCGTGACAGCCAGGTACGACCACGAGGAGACGGTGGCCACCAAGTCCTTTGCCTCGAAGTGCTCCCGACATGGCTTTGGCAGAGTGGAGCACAGCAAGGCGAAGCCAGGTCCTGTCTTCATAAGTGGCAGGTTCATCGTGCTGAAGAACATGACGGAAGCGGAGTATGTTGCGGCCTACATGCTGGGTGAGGGCAACAAGGAGGCTCGACAGCCTCACGTGGTGCAACTTGCCGGGGTCCTTGCAAGCGTTGGGCATGGGATGCATGTGCCAGGAGTTCATGGCCAAGTTCAGCAACGTACCGGACTGAGCCAAGTGTGTTTCAAGCCGCTTCGTGCACACGACTGGCAAGACCGGTTCTTCCGGAGGCCATGAGCCCGGGCTTCGACCCGGACGTGGACCTTGACCGGGTGGGTGTGGCCAACCAGACCACGATGCTCAAGGCCGGGGGCTTCGTGCAAAGATTGCGAAGCTCCCGCTTCTAAGCTCCTGCTGAAGCTCCTGCCAAGGGCGAAACCGAGCTGATCGGCAAGCTCTTCGAGAGGGCCCGCCCCGCTCAGCAGTCGGTGCTAGGTTGGGGTTTCGCAAGGTGCTTTCGGATTTAGACCCGAGGCGTCACTTACAATTGTCACACATACATGACATGACTTAAGTCTAGAATGCGAACCCAGTCCTTGTTGTCATTATCTCCGGTTGTTTATTGAGATGTTTCAGGAAAGCCCCCAGCCTCCGATCAGTCGCCTCCCCTCTTCTCTTGTCCGCAGACTCTCATCAAGAAGTACGGGCCACAAGAGATCAATGCCGCCTGCCAGAGACTGTCTGACTGCTTCGGCGGATGAACTGAACACCTGCCTATCACTAAATGAGCATCTCCGAAATAGGGGTACCCCTAAGCTACCCCCCGAATACGATCATCCTTTTTGTAGGAACGCCCAAAAAGGGTACCCCTATTTTCGGAAACCTCCAAATGGCACTTCAGGCAGGTTTGGGATGCAACAGCTGTTGCGACGTTTCCAACATGGGGGGTTCCCAAAACACCCCCAAATAGTAGGTTTCCCTAAAAAACAGGACCCCTAATAAGGTACCCCTAATATCGTAAACCCCACATGGATCCTCTGAGGATCACTTCATGTCATTCAACACCATCTGCGACGCCACGCAGGCGTTCTCGGGGGGGGGTGGGCCACTTTGAAGGCGTTCTTGGAGTGAGGGGTTCAGGTCCGTTCGTGCTTGCTTCCGCTGTGTCGACTTGTCCACTTCTCAAGGAGAGGCAGGATGCCATGTACAAGATGTTCGGCGCCGAGTACGAGGCATCAGTCAGGTATTGTTTTGGTGCAATGACTCATTGCAGAGCTCTCTTTACAAGCCAAAGAGGAAGCTGGCAGGCCCCAAAGTCCGACCTCTATGCGGAGCTCGAGGGCGAACAGGTACCCCGTACTTGGCAGTGAGGGGCCATGTAGGCGTCGCGTCTGCAATTCTTGCCCCCTTCTCCAGAGCAACCCCACAGGTCGGCATCTCCCTTTTGTCGAGCAAGGAGGCAGAGAAGCTCGAGCTCGGCACTTATTTTTAACAAACAGAAGAGATGCCCATCAAGCGTCGCTCTCGCCATGCTGGCTTCGTGGCTTGGTCCCGGGGATCTTCTCTACAAGTAGCACCGTCATGGGGCGGCTTCCGTTCTCCCTGAGAAAAGTGCCGCAGCTGGAAGTGCTCTCTAGAACGCGAAAGCCATGTGCGAGCAAGAAAGCAACTTGCTGTGTCTTTATTGGCAATGATTCACAGATCAACAAGCACAGCTTCATTCTCAACAGCAGTCCTTCAGCTGAAGCTTGGTCTGCTACCATGTGCGCGGCCTTCGACCGGTATCATGCATTTCGAAACTTCGATGGGCCGCAAGGTGGGTTGTCTGTCTTCAACACAAGAACACAAATAAAAGTCACGGCGCAAGAGCCGCTGACTGGCGCCTGCCAGGCCTGGCACTAGGCTTGGAGGAGGTGCAGCCCAACAGCGTCCCGAACAACTGGATGCAAAGGTCGGGGGGCCGCTCTTTGTGAGGGGGGGGGAGGGGGGGGGGCACTTTGTCGCGGCCTGCACCCTGGCAAAACCCTGCGTAAGGCAGCTCGAAAAGCTTCAAGACTCCTCTAGCTCCGCAGCTTGGAAGCAGGTTTTGGTGCTTCCGACTGGCTGAGCCATGTAGACACACGCGCGTTCCGGAGCTGTTCTACGTGTTCTGCCAAGGACACTAGCAAGTCGGGAAAGAAGGCCAAAAAGATTCTCGGTTTGAAGCCGGCCACCACGAAGACAATGCCGTGCCAAAGTGCTTGTGCCACCACCGCTAAGGAAGGCCAAGAAGAAGGCCAAGAAAGAAAAGAAGATCCTGAGCACTGTTTAGTGCCCCTTTGAAATAGACCCAGTCAGCAGCCGCAATCAAAACTCATGAGTCCTTCCCCCCTACCAGCCCCTGCACTTTGTTAAGAGCAGCTTTGGAAGCTTCGTTTGTTGAGATCATCTTCTCCGTGCTGCCTTGCTCTGTTCATCTCCGTCCTCCCCTGACACCCCAGGAAGCTTAAGAAAGAGCTGAAGAAGCAGAAGAAGTGCCTCGGTCTTGTCGAGGGTTCGATGCAAGGGCATAGGGCCGACCCTTCGCCCTCCGCAAAGACTTGCATCCGTCAACTCAGAGTGGCGCAAGAACCATGATAAGTAGAACTGGCTAATGTACCCTTATTTAGGGTACATATAACCATACTTATATAACTACCCATGAACCTGGTCATAGTCTTATTTAGGGTACTAACTAACATAACCCTACTTCTAACTACCCATGAACCTCCAAGTAACCAAGGCTTCAGAAGGACTCCGAGCAGGCTGCCCAACCCGAGCAGCCGGAGAAGGCCTCGGAGAAAGCAGCCAGGCCGGAGCTGCCAGAGTAGGGAGGTTTAGGGGGTTTAGGGGGTTTAGGGGGTTTAGGGGGTTTAGGGGGTTTAGGGGGTTTAGGGGGTTTAGGGGGTTTAGGGGGTTTAGGGGGTTTAGGGGGTTTAGGGGGTTTAGGGGGTTTAGGGGGGTTAGGGGGTTTAGGGGGTTTAGGGGGTTTAGGGGGTTTAGGGGGTTTAGGGGGTTTAGGGGGTTTAGGGGGTTTAGGGGGTTTAGGGGGTTTAGGGGGTTAGGGTTTAGGGTTTGGGGTTTAGGGGGCCATCGTTTGTTCCCGTGGGTTCCCCCAGTCGCCGAGCCCTCGTAAGGCCCGTCCCTTCCCTTCGCTTCTAAAGTGCCTCACCCTGGCCACTAAGCCGCCGAGCTCGTCTTGCCGATAGCGAGGCCTCGGAGTTTTCAGGCACCCTTCGACGAAAATCCACGAACCGTACGAACATCTGTAGTGACACTTTGATCGTGGAGGGCAAATCACAAGCCTAAACATGACCCAAACATGACCAGAGCTGGTGTCCTTCAGCTCACTCAATGCAACACACCCACTCCTAATTCCAGAGTCCACTCCTAGTTCCAGAGACTGCAGCCTCGATTGCGGAAGGCCTGGCCGATCGCGAACGCCTCCGAAGGACTCAGGCTTCAAGCATGCTGCAGCTTTCTGCTTGCACCCGTAACGCCCACCTTTGAGGAGAGCCTTGCCTAGCCCCCTTTGCTCGCAGGTGGAGATGAGGGCTCCAAGCGCAAGCGCGCGAGGAGTGCGGAGAGATGAGAAGGTGCCGGCAGAGTGCCGCCCCCTTTGAAGATCCTGGGGCTAAAAATGTACATAGAAAAGGGCCAGGCATTGCTTTGCTCGGGAAAAAGAGCTGGGCACGCTGCTATGATCAGTCCGCCGCGTGCTTGCGTGCGCGCTGCGAGCCCGAGGTCCAGGAAGATGGAGGCAGCTTCCAAGGGAGGCCGGGGGGGAGGGGGGTGCATCAGTGGACACTTCGATACCGATCATCTCCCAAAATGTGGAGATGTTTGAGAAACTTCATTCATCGGCTTTGCTTTTTCTTGATGGGGGGGACGAGGGATACTTAACAGAACAATGCCAGAAGCAAGCGCCCACCCTAGAGACTCAAGCCCTAAACCCTAAACCCTAAATCCTCAACCCTGAACCCCAAAAAGGAAATCCGCCGCCACTCTTTAGCCTTTGTGCCAAACCTCGAAAAGATCGTTCTTTGGGATGTTCCCCTTATACTAACAGTCCTTAATAGGCATGACACCAAAATTCCCTCTTAAGGACTGTTAGTATAAGGGGGAACAGCCCTAAACCCTAAACCCTAGACCCTAAACCCTAAACCCAGGCATTTGGCTGCCAGCAGTGCATGTGCATCAGGATGGAGTGTTTGTGGTTACGAATTTTCCTTCTAGGGTCATTTAGGGCCCTTTTCGTCGTTAATGCTTTTCAGGGTAGGGAGCTGCACAGGCAGGTTACACCGCCGAAGAGCGGACTAGAACCGAGTGCAGCCATGTCCAAGCCTACCAGCGCTGCCCAGCAAGCCGAACTGGCGCTGTCCACACAGGCGTACACCGCCCAGAGGCAGCTGGCGACGTCGGAAGTTTTCGCCGCGCAGCAGCGGCTCTGGATGGAAGAGAGGCGCAAGAGGGGCCCACCATCCACGACGATCTCCTCGCTCAACACGCCGGCCGAAGACGAGGAGATGCAGCAAGACGCAGAGCCATCGCGCCAGGCTACACCGCAGCCGGCCACATCGCTCTTTCAGCCCATCCCGGTGGAGGGTCAGGCCGCCTTCAGTATGACAGCTGCGCAAGCGGGGGTGGATATCAACGACCACACCGCCGTTCGCAACTACATGAGCGAGAAAGTCACCACCAGACAGCAGGTCCTGGAAACCATTCGCAACTATCATGTTGGAGTAATCCGCCCAGAAGTTTACCACCTGATCAGCCAGGTCGAGCTTGTCATCGCGGGCCTGGACGACCGCTTGGTTAAAACGCAGGACAATCTCAACTGGATGGTGAGTGACAATCGTGCGCAGCAGAAGAGAGAAGCAGGGCTCATGGTCGTTCTCACCGGCTTCGACCCGAAGATGGACCCTACGCAACGGCTCGAACACATCAACTGGATGATGGGGCAGGTGGAAGAGATCAAGCAGTTCCTGGTCCAGAGGATGTACAACGCCTCGGACCAGGTCCGTCTGTGGTTTCTGCAGGCTTTGCAGACAGACCCCAGTACACCGCCGGCCGGGGAAGGGAAGTGGTCGACGGTTACAACGCTCCAGTTCAAGGCCTGGGACCTGCGCCGCGCCTTCATGACTGCATATGGGGGAGGAGGAGGTACACCGCTTTGGGGCCCGCAAGGGCCAGTCAAGGGCTTCCACATCCGCTGTACACCGTCGTCGCCGCAATTCCAACGCAAGCTGGAGCTACCAGTGAGAGCGATTCTCTTCATGCTTAATAAGCATGCGGAGATGAAGTCTACACCGCCCAGTCCAATGTTGATTTTGTGGCGGACCCTTACCCTGATGCACCCGGATTGTGGCCGCGACTTCGACGAAAGGGCCACAGCCTGGGCTCGCATGATTTATTTCACCCAAAATGGGGAATTCAGGGGAAGGCTCGAAATCACGGCGGACCTGGCGGATATCGTCAAGGCTAAACCGCCGGAGGACGCAGAGGAAGCCTCCCTCTGGGACTTTTCCTGGAATTCGGTTGCCTTCGGCATTCAGGCAGAGTTGGACAAGGCCGAAAAGGCCATCATGCAAGAGGCCCAGGCCAAAGCCAAGGGCTCCAGCAAAGGGTGGTCGATCGGAAAGGGTAAAACGCACTGGTCCAATTGCTTCATTTACTCATCGGAGTACAACCCTTTCCCGATACCCATGTCCCTAGAAGTTGTAGAGAGCATCAGCTACAGTTGGGATGAGTATTGTGACAAAACCAATACCCCCGACAAGAAGTGTGGTAGCTACTCCACGGGCACGATTTGTGGCGCCCCGCCAACGGCTACACCGCCAGCCGGAGAGCAGACAGAGCTTTCTAAGGCTGCGCCCAAAGGAGCGAGGGAGTTTGGTCGCCGTTGATGGTTTCTTTCGGCAATTCGCCACATTCGCACTGGCCCGTCCTGGAATACACCGCAGCCCCGGTGCAGTCGGACCACACAATCCCCTCATTTAAGGCAGACGGGCCCATTTGAAACTTTCTCAATGCCCAGTCGCCGGTCCTTTTTTCAAACGGGGCTGCCGGACCTCAAAAGGCCAGTTGCTAATTCGGGGCGAGCCCAAACAGGGGGCTACACCGCCCAAGTTGCATGTTTTGCCAGATGCAGGGCTGACATACCCCAGTACATAGGATGGGATAGATCCCCTCTTCGTAGAAAGCATTTTAGAAGAAGAAAGGCTAAACCTCCACAAAATACCCAATTAGGACAGAGCCTCACACTCTTGGGTATAGGCATCCTCACTTGCTTTTATTATACTTCACCCAATAGGTCCTCAATGCTCATCATAGGCATGGATGCCCTCATATGCACACATTGCCTGGCCACACTGCTTCAAGCTGGACTTCACATCGCAGCTGCAAGTGCAAAAAGAGCTGGGGGCGGCTTTCAAATCTGGACTACACCGCCAGCAGATAGGATCATAGGGGACTCTTACAGGTACCTAGAGATTGTTCAAAACTCCCTAAATCAACTCATGCATGCTCTGAATGGCAATGTTGTCACTATATGTTTGGAGTCCTTAATAGGTCACCAACACCCCGAAATTACTGCAGCAGACCCCCCAGAGACTGAAGCTGACTTTATTTCCCACAAGCTAAGCTTGAGCCGGAACTTTTTACTTAGTTGCAGGGTTCCACCTAAGCCAGGGGTGCCCCTCATACATCCAATTCCAGTTTTACCACAATTAGCCCCCAGACCCCGGCTACACCGCTCTGGTCGTAGGAGGGTTTTCAGAACGTCGCAAGGTTCCAAAATTTTCTTCAGTACCCACAAAACCAGAATTCGGAATTTACATCATACTGCTAGTAAGCCTACACCGCCTCAACGAGGCTTGCCGGGTACTACCACGGTAGTCAACGAAGAGTGTCAACCCCATGACCCTCCGCTTCATTCCCTTTTAGGTTGGGGTACCCAGTGCCGTCGTCTTCGCCGGAGATTATTCCGGCGATGGCGAGGCACTGTTAGGGAAAGTATACCATCGGTGAGCTTGGGTAACCTACCGGTGAAGGAGAGTCAACCCTTGAAAGCAGAAGCCAGATGCAGGCGTACAAAAAATGTGGCTAGATTATTTCGACAACTAGTACTGAAAGCCGAAAATTCCTGTGCCAGGGAAAGGAAGATTCTCAAACCACAGACTACACCGCCTCTAGGGTATGGTCAGGTTTTGAGAGTGGTTGCTTTGAATGTTCAGTGCATGACGGAGTTACTTAAGCATCAGGAGGTATTAAACCTCCGGTCAGAACTATCGCTGGATATTCTCTTCCTAACTGAGACACACTCTACTTCCTACTACTCATTTCGTTCTAGTTCACATCTATTCATAGTTAATGGTACTCATAAAGATAAATGGTCAGGAGTCACAGCTGTCATCGCTCCAAAGTTGATCCCATATGTCAAAAATGTTACACAGCATAGCTCAAGGATTCTACAGGTCACCATCGCGTCTAGTTCGGGGGATATCCACTTCATTGGGGTCTATGCCCCCCACGACAAATCCGACATTACCACCAAAAAGGAACCTTTCTGGAGTAAACTGCATGACATCACCTCAGCTATCCCTCTGCCGGAACCCTACTACATCATTGGGGACTGGAATGTAAGATTACAGGGTCGTTCAGAGGAAGAAAAAGACATCCTCGGACCACACATATACGGTAGGGGAAAGCAGTTCGCAAACACCCGAGACAATTCCAACCGCACGGAGTACACCGCCTTCCTTAGTAGTCAGGCCGCAGTGGACGCCCTTTCCTACAAACAGCCCAACCTCTTAAAACAAATAACCTACAGAGACAAACAAGCCCCGCCCCGCTCGTGGGACCAATTCATCTCAGACGACCTGGGATGGTTGCAACTTTGGGACAAGGTTCAGGCCCTTCCAGCCCAAGAGGATGACCTCCTGGCTGTTGTAGGTACCATACGCAATTATTTAGGGGTAGACACCCTGCCGTTTCTGGGATCCTATGCCCCAGTAGTCGACCCTCTGAGATTTCAGAGCCTGGACCGGTTAGTGGTTGCTCGTAAATGGCTTCCCACAGTCCTGCAACTAAGAGCATTACATCACAAAGGCTTCCCTAGCGACCATTTCCCTCTCTTCGCAAAAATAAGAGTCAAGCTAGGGGCCCTACCAAAACCCCCCCCAGCTAAACCGCGCTACGCCTACAAATCAGACGAGTACACCGCCAAAACCTTTAACAGGGCTGTGAGGGCTCACTATGGAGCTACAACAGTATTAACCACGAATCAACACGGTGCTCCCAAATTTCAAGTGTATACGGATGGATCGGGCAGCCGGGGCAAATGTAGTGCAATCACGCCGGCTGGTTGGGGCTATGTAGTTTTACAGGAACAAAAGGTCGTTCACGAAGCCTCGGGCCATGTCTGCACTAACCAAAACGCCGCCCACTATCTAGGGGCCACAGTCGGTAGCAACAACACGGGTGAACTCACTGCCTGGCTCGAGGCCGCGCTCTATCTCTTAGGTACCCCTGAATACATACCACAAGCAGTCGAATTTTGCTACGATAGCAAATGGATGCATTCTATGGTTACGGGTACAGCCCGCCCAAAGCGACATAAGGCTTTAGTTTACCTTTCAAAACGAGTACACCGCCTTCTCTCTAAACGTACCACAATCACTTGGCAGTGGGTAAAAGGTCACACGGGCAACCAGTACAACGAAAAAGCGGATGAACTGGCGGAAACAGGGAAAACCACAGCGCAATTCCAAGGAGGACGCTCAGAGGCTCACACCTTTCTTTCACCGGCTAACCTCCCTAATTCAGAGGAGGCCCTTCCACCGCTCGCAGGCACACTAGATGAATCAAACAAACAACTAGTTAGCGCCTTGTTACATGCGGAGGAAATTACCTTCCAACGTCAGGAATTCGCCCCTAGAGCAAACTGGATGCCACCAGATTTAGCCACCAGGCTGGAACAGATCAAAACTAGGCGCAGGGCGCATGATTACACCGCTCACCAGGATTACAAAAAGGCCAAGGCCGAGGCCCGGAAAATAAAGCGGGAATGGCTCAGAAATCAGCTGTACATGGATAGTCAATCAGGCTCCACCAAACTGTGGCAAGCGACCCGCAAGCTAAAAACAGGATTTAGAGCCAGGCGCACACGACTCAAACAAAACGGACGGCCCGTCCCCTGGAGCAAGACGCACCACGTCTTCGCTGACCACCTCTCCAACAAACAATGGGCCCCATCCGCAGTCACGGAGGAGGAGCTTCAACTCTGAAGGGAATCTCCCCCTTTACACTCTCCTTCGAGTACACCGCCTTCCAAATTTACGCTAGATGAACTTGAAGACATTCTATTTCAGCTCAAAAAAGGAAAAGCCCCCGGCCCGGATAATGTGCGAACAGAATTGGTTATGTTGCTGGACCACTTCGGTAAACTACGCCTACTACAAATTCTTAACGAATCGTTCGAACAACGTTCAGTTCCATCATCGTGGAAAGAGGCCATGATAGTCTCTATTTACAAGGGAAAGGGAGCAGATTCCGATCCTGCTAACTACCGCCCTATCTCCCTATTAAACGTCTTCTACAAGGTTTACGCCGCCCTCTTGCAACGCAGACTAGAGCGCGCCCACGACCATCATTTACGTACAACGCAATACGGGTTTCGGCGTGACAGGTCGACACGGGACCCCCTCTTTATATTACGCAGGGCACAGGACTTGGCTATTAAAACGGGTACCTCCCTGCAATTACTGTTTCTAGACTGGAAAATGGCGTTCGATAAAGTTGACCACACCGCCATGGCAATAGCGCTCGAAAGGCTCGGAGTACACCGCCACTATGTAGAAGTTATTACCGACATCTACACGGATCCTACCTTCACGGTTAAAGGAATGCATGGTGACACTACTACGGCTACACCGCATACGGGAATACGGCAAGGTTGCCCCCTTAGCCCCTACCTCTTCATCATGGTTATGACGGTACTCTTCCACGACATAGATTCCAGACTACTACGCCAAGGTGTCCCCACGAACTCCTGGTCAATCGGCAAACCAGTCTACGATTTGGAATACGCTGACGACACACTTTTACTGGCAGTTACACCGCCACAACTAGAAGAGCTCTTACGTACAGTTCAAGTAGAGGCCTCGCTGTACGGTATGATTCTCAACCCCGAAAAAACAGAACTTCTAATCCGACCTGAATATCCAGCGACTATCTCGTTTATAGATGGCACAGAAGTCCCGAGTACACCGCAAACTAAATACCTAGGGTCACAAATCTCGTGGAGTTCAGTTGCCAACACGGCAATACAGGCACGCAAAATAAAGGCTAAAGCAGCTTACATGAAATTACAGCCCTTATGGAGAAGTAGAGTAAATGACAAGATCAAACTCCACATCTACCATGCGGTAGTTGTATCCACACTCACATACGGATTGGACTCGCTCACTCTCGAAATGAGACACCTGAAAACCATAGACGCATGGTACCACCAGCATTTAAGACGATGCATAGGTATTAAGGCATCATATTACTCACATATCTCCAACAGAACGGTCTGGGAAAGAGCCCATAAGCCAGTAGTTCCATCGCAGCAGCTCCTCTCACAACAGCTACAGCAACTGGCTAAAATACTGAGTACACCGCCAACGAACCCCATTCACCATGTAGTTTTCTCACCCGGAATAAAGGATAGGGTTAAGTTTACCAAAGGAATCAAGAGGGGCCACCCCCAAAGATATTGGTTAGAGGTAGTGGAAGAGGCCGCATTAACAGCTTTCAAAGACTTCCTTACCGTAAGCTCCCAGGTACACCGCTCAGACCTCTTAGGCCTAAAGCAGTATCTTTCTAAACACCCCGAGTACGCCCTGCATCTGGCAGCTGCGCCTACGCGCCAGCCAAATATTTTTCAGAAGCACGGAAAGAGTCTGGGATGCGCATGGCAGCCGTAAAAAAAAAAAAAAACCCTAAACCCTAAACCCTAGACCCTAAACCCTAAACCCTAAACCCTGGTACTGTAAGGGGAAACATCCCAGATCGTTCTCATCGCAGGCGGGGAGGTGTCGGAGGAGACGCCGACCAAGACGCTGGGCCTGCATTTAGCTTCCGGGGCGGCTTTTGGAGTTCCCTCATCTAAGTTGCGGCTACAGGGACTAGGGTTTAGGGATTTGGGGTTTGGGGTTTAGGGTTGGGGAGCCCTGAAACGGGACCGTGGTTTCGGGTAGATTGAGGCTTGCTTCTGTGCCAGACACACACACACACCCACACACACACCCACCACACGCACACACTCGACCTCTGGCGAGCAAGAATCTGCTCTCTTTTGCCTTCCCTTGATGCAGGATCGATGTGTCAGGCACTGAGAATGCTGCATGCTCCATCCTGCTCAGCAGTCACGAAGCCTTCACGGTACATTTTCTGTTGGCACAGGGCAGCGGTACTTATATGCAGCTTGTAGCATCGCTCAAGTCTGCGCACCATCTGCGTGCTTGCCGAGTTGTTTGGTGCTTGGTGGCTACAACTCGTCGAATACAGTCGCCGCCCTGGATGTGACACTCTGACAGTCCTTTCATGAAGGAGCGGTACGTCGCAGCATGTAACAAACAAACGAACTAACTAATTAACTAACTAACTAGCTAACTGGCTAACTGGCTAACTGGCTAACTGGCTAACTAGCTAACTAGCTAACTAGCTAACTAACGAACGAACGCACTAATTAACTAACTAACTAACCAACCAACTAACGAACGAACGAGCACACACACACAGTGCGCCTGACTGGGGCGCCGAGACCCACCTCCTCGAAATTGCGGAAGAGGAGGGCGTGCCTGCGTGCGACTCCCAGTGCGTGCTGTTCTGTATGTTGTGTGCCATGCGGTGCCATGTACTGTGTGGTGCCATGTGGTGCCTTGACAGTGAGGGCTTCCTGTGGGGAAGATGCTCCTGTTGACATGGGCAAGTGTTATCGCTAGTTGCTGGCGTCAGGTATCACATCGACTGTGCTGAGCGCATTGGCGTTGCTGGCGGAGAGGCCACCAACAAGATCCAGGCATCCCTTGATTCCAGAAAGGTTTGCAGCCGGGTGCATGCCATGCATGACATGTGCCCTCTGTGCGCTCGTTGTGTGCAGCACAAGCCCCTGACCACGCTGCCTGCTCAAGCCATGCTGGACGAGGGCCTGGAGGCGCGTGCCTAGCGCGAGTTTCAGGGCTTGCCATGTTTCCCCCCCTCCCCCCCCACCGCGCCCAATGCTAAAAGCAAAAGGCAGGGATTGTTTGGGGTCATGCTCCGGTTAGAGTGAGGCAACGCGACGCGCCTACCCACGCCTGTAAAGGTAACAGGTGACGAGAGTCGCAAGAAGAAGAGCGGTCTTGACATGGCTGGCCCTGAAAGAGAGAAGGTCTGCGGAGGAAAGAACCGAAGACCAGGGGTGCTAAGGTATGTCATATTGTACTTGTATTATGCTATATTGTGGATTTTTCTGGTTTTATTGCTTGATATTGTAAGACACATACGTTATGTTTTGTGATTTTGTGTTCCATTATGTACGATTATGTTTGATTTTGTTTGATTACGTCTTATTATGTTCTAGTATCTTAAAACTATCGTCTTATGTTGCATGTTGCTGCTATGTGATACCATGTTCTATTATGCTATATTATGCTTTCTTATGCCATGTTATATTGTATTATGTTGTTGCGCAGATCACGGAGAACTTCCTCCCAGATGGCCCAGTCACAATTGGCATCACGTCCGGTGCGCCGCGGCCCCGGAAGGAAGAACGGCGCAGTCCATAGACCATAGTATTATCATTGCTTTTTCCCTTTTGGCCCAAATCTTTCCCGCATGCCTTTTTCTCAGGTTTGCTTTGTGTGAAGACAGTTGGAGAAGATCCCAGTACCAGTACCTGACGCTCGCAAGCCCCCGGTAGCACCCCCACCATAAGCCCCCTGCATACCTCCACAGCTCCCACAGCCCTCCCCCAGCCCAGAGCACCCAGCTGGCACACGTCAGAGTTCCACCATCGCGCCATGTAGGGAAGTCGAACATAAAACCACCTTTGGAGCTCCTCCCTCCTCCGCTTGTCGCTAGCGCGCGCCGCGCGCCATGGCCGAGAAAGAGGGCGGCCTGGCTTCCAAGGCGCGCATCGACAGGGCACAGAAGGGGAGGATACTTGGGGGGTTTAGGGGATGATACTTAGGGGTTTGGGGGCCTTCTTTGGGGTGCGATGTTTTCCACCCCCCTTTCTCGCGGCCGAAGCGTATCTGCTTTTATGGCAGAATCTCCGTGTCAAACAGCTTGTGTCGGTTCCTGCCCTCCTCTGCTCCTTGACCCTTGACCCTAAACCCCAAACCCCAAACCCTAAACCCCAAACCCCAAACCCCAAACCCCAAACCCTAAACCCTAAACCCTAAACCCTAAAGGATCTCACTGTTTGGATCTTCTTGGGAGGTTGGCGAGGCCGTGAGCACTGAGGAGCTGCGCAGCTGCACCCCGGCAAGGGGTGGTGTAGGGGATTTGGGGCACGGCCAACAACCCTAAACCCTAAACCCTAAACCCTAAACCCTAAACCCTAAACCCTAAACCCTAAACCCTAAACCCTAAACCCTAAACCCTAAACCCTAAACCCTAAACCCTAAACCCTAAACCCTCTTTGCCATATATATTTAAACCTTAATTGTATTTTCAAAATTTGGCCGCTTTATTTTCAGAATTTGGCCGCTTTATTTTCAGAATTTGACCGCTTTATTTTCAGAATTTGGCCGCTTTATTTTCAGAATGAGCCAAAATCAGGCCAAAGGCTAATTGAATTTCAGAATTTGGCCGCTCTATTTTCAGAATTTGGCCGCTTTATTTTCAGAATTTGGCCGTTTTATTTTCAGAATTTGGCCGCTTTATTTTCAGAGTTTGGCCGCTTCAGCATTTGGCCGCTTTATTTTCAGAATTTGGCCGCTTTATTTTCAGAATTTGGCCGCTTTATTTTCAGAATTTGGCCGCTTTATTTTCAGAATTTGGCCGCTTTATTTTCAGAATTTGGCCGGCTTATTTTCAGAATTTGGCCGCTTTATTTTCAGAATTTGGCCGTTTTATTTTCAGAATTTGGCCGCTTTATTTTCAGAATTTGGCCGCTTTATTTTCAGAATTTGGCCGCTTTATTTTCAGAATTTGGCCGGTTTATTTTCAGAATTTGGCCGCTTTATTTTCAGAATTTGGCCGCTTTATTTTCAGAATTTGGCCGCTTTATTTTCAGAATTTGGCCGCTTTATTTTCAGAATTTGGCCGCTTTATTTTCAGAATTTGGCCGTTTTTGGCTTTGTCAATGTAGTGGGATTCTCTGGGTGGGTGGGTGTTATATCCGAGCCGTAAATACAGCTTAACCATAGAGCTGCTCGACCCGGAGTGCTGAACCCTAAACCCTAAACCCTAAATACTGGGAGGAAACGAAAAAAGTGTAGAACCCCCGAATAGTACCCCCATACTCCTGCTGGGTCGTTTTTAGGAACACTTGAAGGGCTCTCTACGTTTTTGGATCCTCCTTAAGGGGATCTGGGCAGGGAATGAAGGCCCTGCAGGAGAGGTTTCGGCTTCTTGACATTTCTTCTCTTGCTGTCGGTTACTAGGGAATGAGGGAATGAGGCACCCTATATCTCCCCATAGATACCCTTTTAAGGGATTATGCAGGGCACCTCGTTCCCAAAATCCCCCCCTACATTATACCCTTTAAGGGATCCTATAGGGTCCCGCATTCCCTCATTCCCTACCGACCAACTCAGCAAGTTCTCCTCCGAGGCAAGATCGGAGGCTGCTGTGGCAAGGGAACCCCCGGCCTCAGCCGCGAGGAGGTGCTTTGCAGGATGCTCAGGGAGATAGTTGGGAATAGTCTTTAATTTCTGGGTACTCTTAACTCCTAAGAAACAGCTAAACTTACAATGTTTGGGTAATTCGTAGGAAACAGCTAACATTTCCTAATTTTTGCTAGGGTTCCCAGCTCAGTGGAGGATGCCAGAAGTAGCCCTAAACCCTAAACCCTAAACCCTAAACCCTAAACCCTAAACCCTCAACCCTGAACCCTAAACCCGAAACCCAAAACCCTCAACCCTAAACCCCAAACCCTAAACCGGGGAACATCCCAGAGGATGCCCTCGCTGCCCCACTGGGAGCTGTCACCCGACGGCGCCTCCATCAGCCGCCGCTTCGTGGCCAAGAACTGGGCGGCGGCCATGGGCTTCCTCAACGAGGCACGGGGGGCCTTGCAGTTTACGTTTAGGGTTTAGGGTTTAGGGTTTAGGGTGTGCTCTGGACATTGCTGTTTGTGCACAGGCTCCGAATGCTGAGAATATTTGCAATTTCTGATGTTCACAGGCTGCCAATGTTGTTGTCTGCAGCATTTCTACTTGTTCACTGCCGCAAGCCACGGCATGTTGGCTGTTCATAGGCTCCGCATGCTGCCAAAATGCAGCATTTCTGAGAGGAGATGCCAAAAACGAACGAACGAGAAGCCGACAAAGGAGTTGTTGAAAGGGAAGAACGAAAGAGAAAGGACAGGAATGACAAGAGAGAACGATTGAAGAATAATTGCGAGAAAGAAAGAAGTACTGCAATAGGAGCAGAGAGACAGAAAGAAATAAGGAAGGGAATGGCGAAATAGATTAAGCAAGAGCGAAAGAATGAAAGAAACACACAAAGGCAACAATCACGAGAGAATGAATACATAAGCCGGCGAATACAGAGAGAGAAGAAAAAGTAAAATCAATGAGATAGAGAACAAGTACTCAAATATACAAAGAAAGGCGGATCAAGGCAAAGTCAAACCAAGACAGAGGCAACGAAGCATGGAAACAACGTGCGAAAGAGCGACTTGCCAATTAAGGGACATTCCTTCACCTTCAGAACCTCCCACCCCACCCCGCCCCCCCGGGCCCTCCACACCTCGCTCTTTTCGAGTATGTGGAGCCTGCGATAAAGTTTTCTGATCCACTCGTGCTGAAACTACGTCGACAGGTCAGCGTCTTGGCCGAAGACGAGGGGCACCACCCGGATGTGCACATCACCTCGTACCGAAACGTTCAGGTTGACCTCTCCACGCATGCCATCGGAGGGCTCTCCCTGCCCGACTTCGTGCTTGCGGCGAAGATTGATGAGATCAAGGTCGAGTACTCGCCGAAGTGGCTGAAGGAAAACGCGGTGCGTGCGTAACGAAAGTGGCCGTGCGAGATGGGCAGCAGGAAAGTTGCTGCTTCCGGACGGTGCCCGAAGCGATGAGTCGGGAGCTTGCTCGCTGACGATCACCTGGCGCTTGCTACGAGGCGGAGAGAGCGCTGCGCAGAGCACTTGAGAAGAACTCGTGGCTGCCAGGAGGTGCGATGTGTCGGCATAGACCAGGCGACGGAGAAAAGAAGTGAGGGCATGTGGGGGTGATCTTTTGTGACCATGTGTGAGGCCACAGGCTTGTGTGTGCATGCTGTTTTTTTTCAGCCCCACGGAACCGAGCTCGGCAAGGTCGACACCCGACAACATTTTTGGAGACGTGCTGAAGTCGCTGCCTTAGCCGTTTTTGAGCCCTTGACAGCTCTTTGACAAGCCAGACTTGCTTTTGTTCCAGGCCGACCTTAGCATAAGGATGTACACCCGTTCTGCTAAGCCGTAGAAGTAGCGGACGGGGTCTTCGGGGCACGATGTTCTGAGGCGAGTCCTGGCCATTCGCGGTCTCGATGCCTGATGGCCTGTCGGTCGAAGAGTTGATCGGTGTCTTCAGGGTTGCTGGGCATGTGAGCCCCTTCAGAATTTATCTATTTATTTAATGGCTACCGCCAGTGCCGCCGACCCCAGACCCAAGACAGTCGCATTGGGGCGGAAGGCAGGGTGGAGCGCGCGCAGGCGGGGGGGGCGGGGGCGGGGGGGGGGGGGGGGGGGGGGGGGGGTGGGGGGTGTGGGGGGTGACGGTAGAGGGTTGGTGTCGGATTAGGGAGTTGGGGGCGGAAGGCAGGGGTGGACTGGGGGGCATAGAGATGAAGAAGCGATGAGAGCGGTGAGAGCGGGGGGGCGGTCGGATGGTGCACGATGGTGGGAGGGGGTAATGATGAGGGCTGGGGAGGGTTGGTGGGAGGGTTAGGGAGTGGGAGTGGGAGAGGGTGGGGGCGGCTGGCGGAAAGGGGGCCTGACTCATTTGACCAGCTCTGGTGAGAGGGTTGGGGCGGAAGGCAGGGTGGAGCGCGGCGGGTGGACAGGGGAGGTGACGGTCGAGGGTTGGTGGAGTTGGGGGCGGAAGGCAGGGGAGTGATGAGAGCGGGGAGGCGGTTAGGGCGGGCGTGGATTGGAATCCCTCAAACTAGAGATTTGTTAGGGTCAGGGATGGGGGGGGGGGGTGGGGTTTCAGAGTCGAGGCGGCGGGTGGGGGGTTGAGGGTAGAGGGTTGGTGTCAGGGAGGGGTGGACTGATGAGAGCGGTGAGAGCAGTGAGGGCAGTCAGGGCAGGCATGGACTGGAATCCTTAAAACACTAGAGATTGGTCAGGGGCGGAGCAGGCGAGGCCTACAGCGTGGGGGGTGGCGGCGGGGTGGGGGGGGGGGGGTGAGATTGGTCAGGAACGGAGTAGGGGGTAGGGGCGAGGCCTGCAGAGAGGTGTGGGGGGTGGGGGGGGGGGGGGGGGGGGTGTGGGGGTGGGGTTGGGGGTGGGGGTGGAGCAGGGGCCATAAATAGGAGGGATGAAGAATGGGACCACAACCCATGGGTCCATGAGAAGCATGGCGGGGTGCGTGGGGGGCTTGGGCAAGGGGGGGGAGTATGCGGAGCGGGAAGGGCGGATGGACGGGGGGCGGGGTGCGTGGGTGGTGGGGATGAAGAATGGGACCAGGAGCCATGCCATGAGAAGCATGGCGGGCTGCGTGGGGGGCTTGGGCAAGGGAAGGAGTATGTGGAGTGGGAAGGGCGGATGGGCGGGGGGTGGGGTGCGTGGGTGGTGGGGGTAGGGCAAGCCTGCGGGAGGAGCCATGGGTCCATGAGAAGCATGGCGGGGTGCGGGGGGCTTGGGCAAGGGAAGGAGCGGGGGGCGGGGTGCGTGGGTGGTGGGGGTAGGGCAAGCGGGGATGAAGAATGGGACCAGGAGCCATGGGTCCATGAGAAGCATGGTGGGGGGCTTGGGCAAGGGGAGAGCGGGAAGGGCGGATGGGTGGGGGGCGGGGTGCGTGGGTGGTGGGGGTAGAGCAAGCGGGCCAAGCGGGGGAGGTCGAGGGGATGGAGAGTGGGAGCCAAGGCGGAGCTGGAAGGGCGGCGGGCGGAGGGGCCTTTAAAGTCAGCTGAGAAGCCACATCCATGGGCGTGGACCATGAGCCAATGGGGCCAGGAGCCATGGGTCCAGTGGGGGGCGGGGTCCGTGGGGGGTGGGGGTGGGGGCGGTGGGGGTTGGGGTGGGGGTTGGGGGTGGGGGCCATTGGGCCAGAACCATGACAAGCGTGGGCGGGGCAGGGTGCGTGTGGGGTGGAGGGGGTTGGGGGTGAGGGGCCATTTTTCGGACCAGCATTGGCAGGGGTCCATGAGAAGCATGGCGGGGTGCGTGGGGGGCTTGGGCAAGGGAGGGAGTATGCGGAGCGGGAAGGGTAGAGGTGGTGGGGGTAGGGACCATAATGAATGGGGAGCCATGGGGCCAGGAGCCATGGGTCCATGAGGGGCATGGGTGCGTGAGGTCCATGGGCCGTGGACCATGAGCCAATGGGCCAGGAGCCATGGGTCCAGTGGGGGGCGGGGTGCGTGGGGGGGTGGGGGTGGGGGTTGGAAGTGTGGGTGCGTGGGGGTGGGGGTGGGGGTTGGGGGTTGGGGGTGGCAGGGTGCGTGCGGGGTGGGGGTGGGGGTTGGGGGTGGGGGTGGAGCAGGGGCCATTTTTTTGACCAGCATTGGCAGCCATGCAGGTCGAGGGATGAAGAATGGGACCAGGAGCCATGGGCCCATGAGAAGCATGGCGGGGTGCGTGGGGGGCTTGGGCAAGGGGGGAGTATGCTAGGACCAGCATTGGCAGCCATGCAGGTCGAGGGATAAAGAATGGGACCAGGAGCCATGGGTCCATGAGAAGCATGGCGGGGTGCGTGGGGGGCTTGGGCAGTCGGGGGGAGTATGCGGAGCGGGAAGGGCGGATGGACGGGGGGCGGGGTGCGTGGGTGGTGGGGGTAGGGCAAGCGGGCGGGCATGCACTGGGGGCCGGTTGAGCTTGGGATGAAGAATGGGACCAGGAGCCATGGGTCCATGAGAAGCATGGCGGGGTGCGTGGGGGGCTTGGGCAAGGGAAGGAGTATGCGGAGCGGGAAGGGCGGATGGGCGGGGGGCGGGGTGCGTGGGTGGTGGGGGTAGGGCAAGCGGGCGCATGCACTGGGAGGAGCCATGGGTCCATGAGAAGCATGGCGGGGTGCGTGGGTGGCTTGGGCAAGGGAAGGAGCGGGGGGCGGGGTGCGTGGGTGGTGGGGGTAGGGCAAGCAGGGATGAAGAATGGGACCAAGCGCCAGGAGAATGAGAAGCATGGCGGGGCACGTGGGGGGCTTGGGCAAGGGGAGAGCGGGAAGGGCGGATGGGCGGGGGGCGGCGTGCGTGGGTGGTGGGGGTAGAGCAAGCGGGCCAAGTGCGGCAGAGGTCGAGGGGATGGAGAGTGGGAGCATGGGCCAAGGGGGGAGTAGGCGGAGCTCGAAGGGCGGAATACGGAGCTGCCCTTTAAAGTCAGCTGAGAAGCCAGGACCATGAGCCAATGGGCCAAAAGCCATGGGTCCAGTGGGGGGCGGGGTGCGTGGGGGTGGGGGTGGGGGTGGGCGTGGGGGTGGGGGTTGGGGGTGGGGGTGGAGCTAGCTGGAAGTGTGGAAAGGGGTTGGGGTGGGGGGTGGGGGGGGTGGAGCCATGAAGCCAGGAGCCATGGGTCCATGACCAGCATGGGCCGCGGGGCAGGCTGCGTGCGGGGTGGGGGTTGGGGCCCAATGAGGGGCATGGGTCCGTGAGGGTCAGGGGTAGGGAGCTGGTCCAATGAGGGCATGAGAAACAGGTCAAGGGGATGGAGAGTGGGAGCACGGGCCAGAGCGGAGTAGGTGGAGCTGGAAGGGCGGAGGGCGGAGCAAGCGGAGCGGGCGGAGCGGGCGGAGCGGGCGGAGGGCCCGGGCATGCATTGGGGTGCTTTAAAGTCTGCTGAGAATGGGCCGTGGACCAATGGGGCCAGGAGCCATGGGTTCAGTGGCGGGCCGGAAAGGGTGGGGGGGTGGGGGGGTGGGGGGGGGGGGGTGGGGGGGGTGGGGGGGTGGGGGGGGGTGGGGGGGGTGGGGGTGGAGTGGGCGGTGGCAGTGGGGGGGGGGGCGTGGGGGGGGGGGGGGGGGGGGTGGGGGGGCGGTCGGGGGGGGGGGTTGGGGGGCGTTGGGGGGTTGGGGCGTGGGGGCGGGCATGCACTGCACCCTAAACCAGGGGGGTCAAAGGTACAATTCAAGGCGTCATGGGTGAGGGCGATGGGTGGCGGGGTTTGGGCATGCACTGAAGCCAAACAATGCAAAAACACTCCAATTCAAGGTGTCAGGAGCAGCATGCTGTGAGAGCGGGTGAGGGCGGTGAGGGCGGTGGGGGGTCTTCACTGACGCCGCCCTGCTACCGCTGGGGTCGGCGGATAGAGAGAGCTGTCTAGATTTTTTGTCACCATGTGTGTGACGCCCAAAACCCTTCAACAATTTCTTGTTTTCCATGCGGCAGTGAACATGTCGGGTTGTTTTAATCTCTTGCATGACTTGTGAAGCCACATGTTTTCAGTTTTGATGCTGCGCTCAGACCCAGAAACGTGTAGCATTGTTTGTTCCCGCCTAGCCACCCTGGGGAGTATTTCGTGTCCTGCGTGGCCAGCTTTTGCGTACGGGCGTAGGCGCAGGCATCTTAAAAATGCCGTTGGGGCCTTGGAGCTCAGACTTTCTTGTACCCCGGCTCCTGGCCGAGCCAGCGCGGAGCCAAAAAGAAGAGAGTGCATCAGCTCGCGTATATTCCTGAGAATGAGTTTTCCTTTTATGGATATTATTTCAGAATTGATTCGTTTGGAGCTTTTGGGAATTTTTTCCTACAGTCCATCTTTCTCTTTTCTCTCTTTCTCTTATATGTATACATATCTCTGTTTCCATGGTTATCTGTCTGTCCGTCCTTTCATCCACGTCCATCCATCCATCTCCCTTTACACACACACACACACATATATATACACACATATATGTATGCAGAGATTCTTCACGTTCATTGCGTGTGTACTTCATTGTGCACATGTGTATATGCACACGCAATGCATGCTTCAAGTAAGCACGGCAGGGCATTGAGTGGGCGCTCGCGTGCCATGCGCGCCGGTCACCTGGTACCGGATCCTTCTGAAGTTTGCGGATTCGCGGAGCGACTGTGAGTCACCTGAGGGCTGTGCGTTTAGGGTTTAGGGTTTACTTTAGGTTTCAGGGTCTCTCTCTCTCTCTCTCTCTCTCTCTCTCTCTGTGAATGTGAATGTGTATGTGTGTGTGTGTGTGTGTGTGTGTGTGTGTCTGTTTGCGTGCGCGTGTGCCGCAGCCAGTGGTGCCGAGGCCAAGCACGCTGCATGCAAGCCCTCTGCGAAGCAAACCCCCTCGCTTCTGGAGAAGGTTTTGGAATGTTGGTTCAGGTACGGGGGTGGGAGCAGGTCAAGAGCACAGGAATTAGTGATGACTTAGTGAGGAGGTTGCCGGCTGGAGTGAGTTCCTGTGTTTCAAAATGTGATGGCAATGAGAAGCTTCCCGCCTTCTCGTGGGCTGGCTGAGCGATGCTCGCTCCTACGAGGAAGGGGCGTTTTTCCACATGCGAGTCCACTCCACTTGTTGCTGAGGGGCAGGACAGAGGAAGCCGGTGCTGTGCTGAAACGCGCGCGCCCTCCTGCGTGGAGTGAATTTGCTCGGCAAACGCAACAGCCGCGCCGGTGAAAGTCTGTAGAGGTCTGTAGAGGCAGAAGAATCACGGACCCCGTGGGTTGACTTAGTCAGCTCAGGCCTCTGACATCCTCTGACCCTTACCCTGCCCCCAACCCTTCTGGGTCTGCGAAGTATTCTTTTGCGGTAGGCTTCAAAACCCGTGTCTGTCCACATCTCGGGCACAGGTGGAAAAGGAGGCTCAAGGGAAGGGCTTGGCTCGGCTCTGCCAATATTGCTTTGAGGGTTTGCGGTTTCTCATTTAGGGTGTTCAGGGCTTCGGGTTGTTGGCGTGTTTAGCATGCTATATGTAATGTCTGCGATTGCTTCACAAGGCTTTGTCAAGCGACATTTCGCTTCAGGGCTAAAGATTTGCGGGAAGCTTTCTCGACCCCAGACCTTGATGGGAAATGTCTCAGGCGAGGATATGTGAGGGCGATGTTGCCTCAGGATTGTGTTTCCGATCTCGGTGTGGGTTTGGACAGGTGGGTATGATCTGGGATAGTATTTTGGATTCTGGGTCGAGATTCAGGTTTTGTTGTATTGGGGGGCTTGTTGCTTGTTTTGGTGGGCTGGCTGGGAACTGGTGTAAAAGCGTGACGTGGGCGTCGGGGGTGGGGTGGGGGAGGGTGTGCTAGATTCGTGGGGTGGGGGGGAGGGTGTGCTGGATTCTAGATGCTAGCTGTATACGTAAGTTGAAACGGGACGCCCCGAACTCCACCAGGATTCTAGGGGGTGCGGGGAGGCCCGCGTGTGGTGTGTTAAAGCCTGTGGACATTTTTGACACGGCCTTTTCGCACAAAAAGAGGCCGGTCTAAGTAAATTGAGATGTGTATCCCTTCATGGGACTACAAGCAAGCATTTGACCAATGCTGGCAACGAAAATATAGGCCACATGGGCTCGTTTAGTTTTCCACAAAGGGATAAACATCCCAAAAACCTGCGCTGGTAACGGAATCGTGGCTCCCTAACCCGCCCGCGTGGTTACACCCTACGATGCCCAGAATCCTGTGCTAATATAGGCCACATTTTTTGTTCCCACAAAGGGACAAACATCCCAAAAACCTGTAATCGTGGCTCCCTGCCGCGCCTGTGGGGTTGGTTACACCCTACGACCTGTGCTGGTCACGTGATCGTGGCTCCATAAAAGGTGTGAATATTCCCCTGCGACCAAATAGCTCGCGCCCAGAACCTTGGCCCCCATCATGCAAATCACAGAATGTTCATCTCTCAATAGCGTACATGCGGCAGTGTTTTTATTGGAGCCCACGAGTGCAAGCTTCGGACAACATGCTGTCGAATGCCAGTAAGGAAAACCCAAGTAATTTGTCCCGCTTCGCAGAGGCAGCTATGTGCAGACTGGGATGTAGTCAAAGGGGGTGGGAACCCAGAATTGCTCGTCATTCGGAACCCTCACTGTAATAAGCTTTTATCCACCCCCACCCCAATGAAGGTGAGCAAGCTTGCCGACAGTTACACGCAGCTGTTTGTAGAAGGGGGGGCTCCCGACCTGCCGTCCCTGGTTCTCGGGGCCAAAGGGCCAAATGCAGGTGCGGACGGCTCGCTTGCGTACGATTGTTGGGTTAGGGATGTTTAGGGTTTAGGGTTTAGGGTTTAGGGTTTAGGGTTTAGGGTTTAGGGTTTAGGGTTTAGGGTTAGGGTTTAGGGTTTAGGGTTTCGGGTTAGGGTTTGGAGTTTAGGGTTTAGGGTCTAGGGTCTAGGGTCTAGCGTTTGCAGGTTGAGATGTTGGGGCTTGAGGCTGCAGGTAAGGGCTTGGCTGCACATCTCTTGCCCAGACATCAGTAGTCTTCATGAAGGCGTCGATGGCACGTTTTCCTGTGCTTGCGGCGGAGGTCTTTGACAGATTGGATGTTCCTTCGTTGCCCATGCCGCATTCCATACAGCCATCGCCGGTGTCGCGACACCGACAGGCTGGGGCTCGGTTGTTGCGCATGTGGCATGTTTGGATCCTTACTGTGCAATCAAAGTTGCCCGTAGGAGCTCATCTGAAGATGTTTCACGCGAATCTAAAAAGACCCCAAAGATCCCTATGGTGACGTCCTGGACCAGAGCATAGTACATCATTGCAAATCGGTGTTTTCTGATGGAGGTAAGCTCTGCACCGCAGACCGCGACATTGACACCCTCTGCGCCGTGCGTCTAGACCTTGGGATGTCTAAACGGTTCCGGAAAGAGAGCAAAATGCGCAGCAAATGCGGTCCTCGCGGCTCTCGCGGCTGAGATGTCGACATCCCAGTTGCTCGATCCTGCAGCGTGCGCGCCTTTGATGACTGCCGGTATCTGGAACTGGGAAGGCTGCATCTGGGGAGTTTGAGGCCATAAGGGGGTTTGCGAGAATAAGGGACCCCTAATCTGGGCCCCAAATAGTAGGATTCCCTTACAATGAGGACCCAATAAGGTACTCCCCAATTTCGGAAATCCCACATCGCCTGCGAAGCCCGGCCGAGGCTAGCGGGTGCCCTCAACGACGAGAACTGGCCTAGGCAGGGGGCGCCGTAGCTATGGGGGGCTTTGCTGGGTTTTTTTTTCTGGTGATTTCCTGTGGCTTGCTACGATGGTTGAAGATAGAGTCACACATAGCTTTGACCCCTGAAGCAGCTGCCTTCTACTCTACCCTACCCTACCCTACTGTACTCTACTCTACTTGGTGAGCACTCCGGCTGAGAGTTTCTGCTCGTGTCGTTGCCCTCACTCGTGGGAGATACCTTGCTGGCAGCAAATCTTGCGCATCGATCACTAGGATGCAATGGTGTCACTTGTTTTCGATGTTCCTCGAGTGCTTCCGATCTCAATTTCGCTCGGTATCTCAGGCTCTAGTGCCTGCTTCGGGCACGCGTGCACGTAGGTATCGCGCTTGTAGAATGTGGCATGACTCGGTGGGCTTCGATGATAGTTGTGTCGGCTTCAAGTGTTGATGTCAACTGCACATTGACCGGTGTCGCCGCGAGGCATCGTCCCCAGCAGCAGCTCCATACGGTTCCCAGAAGCGAGGCGGGGTGTCTCTTGGTTGTATTTCCTATATTCGTAAGAATTCGAAGAATCGCAGTGGGCTGATCCATGTCCTGAGAGTCAGGACGTGCTGCAGCGTGTGGACACGAACGAAGTTGGGCAGTTTGACTTCTCTGGCGCGCGGTTCCTGGTTGCGCCCATGTCGAACGCCTTTTCACCCTAAACCCGGAACCCTAAGCCTACATCATCCCATGGACAGGGTTGAGGGTGTTTAGTTTGAGAGTGTAGGATCGAGAGGCGCCTGTTTTAAAGGTTTCAGCGCCTGTCCCCAGGTGCCGGGTGAGTCGAAGCCCGCGTGGACCACTTCGCTGTCCCAGAACGTGGCTGCTCCTCGGTTTAAATTTCCGCCGTCGGACATCGCAGGGTCGGGTTTGGGAAGTGTGCGGCTTAAGGTTGGGGGGTAGCAGATGCCTCTGTAGCCTTATGGCCGGTCTCGAGTGTCTGCTCAGGCTCCGAGCTGGCTGCCGAACTCTCAGCTTCAGATGGTTCTCTTCTTCTTGTTCAAGGTTTAGGGTCTAGGGTAGGATTTAGGGTTTCGGGTTTAGTGTCAAAGTTCTTCTGACCGAGTCTGGAGCTGCTTTGGTCATTCAAGTCGGCCATGTTACTGCTCCCCTTGAGGCAAAACCCGCAGGCTTGCTCCGTGGTCGTCCCCGCCTACTCGAGCAAGCTCAGACCCTCAGACAGGGTTTGCGGTTCGAGGACCCCGTTACTTTGCCCCTGTTGCCCATCTGCAATCTGTTTCCTGAAGGCAGCGCCTCCGTGATTTCTCCTACGAGGTGGGGACCATGTGCGAAGACCCCATGAAACCCTAAACCCTAGACCCTAAACCCAAAACCCTAAACCCTAAACCCTAGACCCTAAACCCAAAACCCTAAACCCATGGAGTGTGGAGAGCGACATTGACATGCGTTGCCCCTGTGTCAGCCGCCGCGCAGCCGCGCCCCTCTCAGGCCGGAAGCACGGAGTCATAAGGGCCCGAGACTTTAACTGACCTGCCCCGGACTACATCACCTCTGCCCCAAACACAGGTGTCAAGTAGTGATCCTATAGGATACAGGGGATATAGGGAAAAGAAGGACCATGTTTTTTTTTTTTTCTCCCTCTCTCTCTCTCTTGGTAAGTAGGGCGTGTTTGCCACAGCAAATGCTCGCAGGGGGCAGAAGCTTAAGCCAATTTGAAGCATCCACCTCTGGCAGGTACTACTACCCAGCCGGGCCCCGAGGTTGCCACAAAGTACCGCCCCTTTGTAGAGATGGCCCAAGACCCTACACCTTTGGGTGCGCATTCGGGCTTCGAAGGTCCGGAGCCGGTCCAGCACCCCACGGAGGGAGTGACCCCGCCTTCTTCTGGCTTCTCACGGAGTTGCGACATGTTGGGGCCATGTTGGGGCCATGTTGCGAGGTGATGACGAGTTTTTGTGTTGAGGCCTGGTGAAAACGTCGCCTGTCGGCTTTCAGGTACTCGTCGCCGACGCCTCGCTACATGAATGCGCGGCTCTTGGCCGACCCAGACTTCTAGCTCGCTCTGCTCTGACTGTCACCTTCCCAGCACGCTGTAGCCTGCTGCCAGGCGTTGAAATCGACGTATGGCACAATGCCCTCTGCGCAGCCCTCTGTGCAGCCCTCTGTGCCGCCCTCTGTGCAGCCTTCTTTGCAGCCTGCTGCGGCGGCTGCAGCTGCGCAGCCCACTACACAGGCCACCCTGGGGTGGGGGAGTGCTTTGGAGCAAGGAGCCGACCGCTAACTTGTCGGATGCGAGTGACTTGACTCTAGCGCTCCAGTGATTCTAGTGACACTTCGTGCTTGCACGTCATGAAGCTGCGCTTGCAAGGTGTGGCAGACGGCAGCACCAGCTCCGTTCACGAAAAGCCTAGGCCCGGGCCAGGGCCCAAGAGTGCCCTCGTGACAGACCAGAGCCGCCGAGTGCCGAGCGCTGCGTCCGAGGCAGCTTCCATGGCGGGAGCCAGCAGACTCTTGCGCAGTACATCAAGCAGGCCTTCCCCTGAAAACCATTGCCCCCGTAAACCCTAAACCCTAAACCCTAAACCCTAAACCCTAAACCCTCAACCCTCAACCCTCAACCCTAAACCCTAAACCCTAAACCCTAAACCCTAAACCCTAAACCCTAAACCCTAAACCCTAAACCCTAAACCCTAAACCCCAAGCCTTCCCCTCGGCCTCGTCTGGTGTGGCATGTTCAGTGCGGCAACGGACCAGCGGGAAGCGGCGCAATGCGCAGTAAGGTGAGAACATTCAATCTTGTGCAGGTTCCGACGCCCGGTCGATTTCGGAATGCAGCTCGGGCCCCTGTCTGCTCAAGATCCCACGAGCCCCACCAAAAGCATCCAGAAGCCTCCCAGGTGCCATCTGCCATGCCCACCACCTTGGCGCCCAGTGGTTCCAGCTACCTGACCAGTGGCAAGGCGACCCCACATGGCATGCCCGAGAAGTGCAAGGTTGCACAAGTGGCAGTGAGAAGCCGTAGGGGCACTTCTCAGGATGGTGATAGTGAGAACTGCAAGTTGACGGCATCTTCCCATCAGACCAGAATCGCAGTCCTGGTGCTACGGATAGGGACAAAACAGCATGAACGTGTGGATCATGATACTGAGCGCAGAAATACGGTAAGGATGTCACATGCTGGCTTGCCCATGAAGTGCATTGGCCTGTCGATGTATCATCTCAACCCCGAACTCTACATCTAAACTCTTAACCCTAAACCCTAAACCCCAAACCCTAAACTCTAACCTCTTCACCCTAATCAGGATGCGTGCTTCTGGCCAGGAGTCAGTGCCGACCTCTTTGTGTAGCACCGTGAACCGCACCAATCAGGCAACGACTCCCTGGGAATAGGGTTCAGGGTTTAGGGTTCAGGATTTAGGGTTGAGGGTTTTGGGCTTCAGGGTTTAGGGTTTAGGCTTTCCCCCCTGGAGCCAGTTTTCTCATAGTCAGGGTCTGCTGTGCCTCGCGCCCCGCGGAGCCGAGTTCCGTTTTGGACGATGCATTAGACCATGAACTGTTGGGCTTGCGCATGCTTAAGCAGGCCATGGGCTGCAATGGTTTAGGGTTTACATGTTTTTTTTTTTAAATTTAATTCAGGGTTATTAGGGTTTAGTTAGGGTTTAGGGTTCAGGGTTTAGGGCGAGTGCCGGCGGAGTAGTGTCCATCTGTGCAGGCGTCCCGTGCCCAGCCGCAAGCGGTGCCGTGCTTGCCTCATTGTATCCTCCGACGGCGGTGATGAAGAAGATGAACATGGCAGTTTTATAGTATTTATTACTACTAATCATTACTACTATTACTATATTTATTAATGTTTGTGGTTGTTTTTGACTATTTATGATTATCTATGGTCCTTATTCGTATTAGTATGTATTATTTCTCTTATATTAACGGCATTACTACTACGATCAAGTTTATACTAACTGTAAGGTTATTTGTGTGATGATTTTCGTGCCCACCCCTCCCCCCGCCCCCCCGCTTGCCCCATGTGTGCAGATGCCGTTCTTGCAAGCCCGCCATGCGCCGAGGACCATACCTGGCCAGAGCGCACACTCGCGCGTGCCTTTGTGAAGTGCCGAGGGGTGTGTTAGCAGCTGGCCTTCCTGGACTTTCCTAAGCACGAAACCCTAAACCCCAAAGCCCTCAACCCTAAAGCCCTAACCTGAAGCCCTAAACTCCTCCCCAGTACCCAAGAGCTGAAGGCTGCTCGGCCCTGCAGGGCGTCAGCCTCCGGACCTGGTGCCGGGAGCAGTTTGAATGGGGATCTGTCGTGTGAGACGATGCGCAAACGATGATCACTATCGTTACCATGACCTTTACCATTATCAGTATCATTGCAATCGTCACTATAGATACTCTCGTTTTTAATTTAATGTGGTTCTTCGGCACATTATCACTCTTAGAAAATTGTCATTCTGAATATGATTGTTGTAATGAGCTTGTTAGCGTTGTCAATCTTATGTTTCTTGTGATCGTTACGACTTGTATTACTATGGGCATTGCTGTTGGTCGGAGGAGGCTCGTGGGGGATCGGGTCTCCAGGTCCCCCGGTTCGGGGTCGGATAGGACTTGGAACTCTAACCCCTAACCCCTTACCCCGAACCCCGAACCCCGAACCCCTAACCCCTCGCCCCCCTAGCCCCTAACCCCCCTAGCCCCTCACCCCTAGCCGTTTGTCCCTGGCCAGGTTCAGACGATCCAGCTGACGCAGGCAGACCTCCAGGCGCGGTGCGCGGGACGGGCTGTGGCGCTTCGACATGGCCAGCTCTCTACTTGGTGTGGTGGCCCACTGGTACCCTTTTTTCCCTTTTTTTTTTTTTTTGGTGCAAGGCCCCCTTATCAAGTCACCCCAATAAGGGGTGCCATTTTCATAATACAGTTAGTGGGCTACCAAGTCTAAGTTGCAGTCTCTTTCGGCGTTCCGTTTGTTTGCGGAGTGCCGACGGCGCTGCCGGACGCTGTGCACATCTTCCTCGAGCTCAACATTCAAGTCGTCAGATTGCGCTTTCATTTTGGTCAAGGGGGGGAAAGCTCTGTGACACCAAAACCTTAAGACGCAAAAGCCCCCAAACCCTTCCGAGCCTTATGTCAAGCAAAACAACCCTGTAAATGAACCTCAAGCAAACCATTCATCACCCTTAAATGCACACAGACCCCTAAACCCCTAAAAGCCTTAAACCTCTAAACAGCCTTAACAACCCTACAGCAATCTTCCAAAAAAACGAAAAGCAAAAAAGACAATCTCGAAACATCGAAGACTTCCAAAACCCAATCCCCCTGAACAAGCCTACAGGAAACCCTTAGCCCCCAAATCTCCTAATCCCTAATTGTTTTGTTTTCAAAAAGCGGCCCGAACAAACAGCAAACAAGAAGGGGCCACATGAATGGACCCACATCTCCACCCACAGTGGTAGCAAAGGGCCATGCAACGTTGTTTGTTGTTTTGTTTGTGTGTTCGTGTCGCCCTTGTTCATGGGTGCAGGGTGTCGTGCCGCATGCCCTGAAAACCTGTGCCACACTTTACCAGACGTACTTCAAAGATGGGGCAGCTGGATCATGGATAGCTTAGGAGACCCGTGTGGCAGTGATATGGAATCCGGACTCCACGTGCCTTCCACGTACCTTGAGCATCTTGCCATCACAGTTTTCCAAGTTTTCCATCAACGTCGAAGCCTGGCCTTTTTAAGCATATTCATCGGGCAGGAGCGGATGAGCAAGCAGCAGCAGCAGCAGGTGGAGCAGAAGGAGCAGGAGGCTGGAGAGAGGCTAGCGTAGCGGGGAAGTTGTTCGAAGCTCTTCTTTGGGTCGTTTTGTTGCACAAAGATGCTCCATGACGGTGTGCAGACATAAACCCTAAACCCTAAACCCTGAAACCTGAACCCTAAGCCCTAAACCCTAAACCACCCTAAACCCTGAACCCCTAAGCCCCCAAACCCCCAAACCCCTAAAAGTGGGGTGCCCCTGGCAGTTGCAGCTGACCAAAGTGAGGCGCGGGACTCAGATGCCTGGCGCATGCCGCCAGGAGGTTTAGGGTTTAGGGTTTAGGGTTTAGGGTTTAGGGTTCTCCGTCGCAAGAGCGGCAACCACAGCAACAGCAGAAGAAAGGCGGCCAGGTTTAGCAACAACAGGAACTAGAAGAGTGGCAAATATGTATGGATGGTAGAAATAGTTTGGGAGAGCTGCCCCCCTGGCGCAGTCTGGAAGAGAAGGATCGGGAGCTGGCCAAGCGCGACAAGGCATGGAAGTTGGTTTCAATCCCTCTAAAAAAGTAGCAGTTCTTGCAACACAGGGTTAGGGGCCTCGGGGTTTTAGCTTAGGGTAAAGGGTCATTGTAGTACCCCATAAAACCGTTTGAAGTTCGTGAAGCCCACCCATGCCCAGACGGGATGGAAAAGCCAGGAGATACTGGAGAAAGAGGGCGAGCTGTGCGATCTGCGGCGCGCCGACCGCCACGACTGCCTGCCCTCAAATCCCGAAACGTGCCTGAGAGTCGAGCCACATCATTGTGGCCCACTTGGTATCCTAGGTGGTGTACGGAAGTTGCTAGAAATTCTAGAGCAGAAGCCCCAAACGATTTAAGATCAACCACCCCTCTGTGCTTTTTCTTTGCGTGTGCCTCGCCCGAAGATCGCCCGTGCCTCGCCGTCCTGTGGTTTTTGAGCGCTGGAGCTTGTGCTGCTTGACGTATTTACCCCATGAATGGTTTGCGTGGCAAACTCAGCCTATACCCCCCGGGAAGACCACACGAAGACGCGACCACCCGACTTTGGTTTCGGCCCCCCGATGGGGCGATGCCTGCTTTGCCCGCTTGTGCCCAGTGGCCTTCTGTTCATTGCTGCGGCCCCCGTTTGGCCGCCCAGGAAGAAGGAGCTGCTGATGCGACCCAGCTCAGCGTACGACTTTTTTTGCTAGTGCAGCTTTTATTGCAGTGGCCTGTGGGAAGAAGCTCGGAAGCCGTTAGGTTGCCCCAAGCTTACCTTCCGAAATCCATCGAAGGCACCACCCGCTCTACGGGCGAAATCTGTCCCAAGAAGACTGGCCGGAGCTGTGCCGCGGCGAAACCCCTACTTTGTTGTACTCGGCTTAATGTAGTTGGTTATTTCAATACGCTTGGTTGTTGGTCCACAGAATTGCATTGTTCTTCTTGATCTTCTTCAAGAGCACCTATCCACCTCCTCTTCTTGCCGTCAACACTCAGTGGATCTATCACGCCATGGCTAACAACTACTAGAGTTATGCACTGGGATGTTCCCTTTATACCAACAGTCCTTAACAAGGATTCTAATAGGGGGTATTCAGGACTGTTAGCATTCGAGGGAACAACCCTAGACCCTGAACCCTAAACCCTGGGCGAGGTCTCAAATGATCGACTTGGCCCGACGCTTGCCCCCTGGCCCGTCTTTCCGCGTGGCCTGCCTCATTGAAGGCCTATTTGGGATGTTCCCCCTTATACTGACAGCTCCTTGTTGCACTTGTTGCCCAATCGCAGCTTTCACGAAACGGAAATCAGTGAGTGAACGCGTTGATGAAACTCCGGCGTCATAAAGCTCCAGCTGCCGACGACCGTGCCGAGGAACCCATTCGGATGAATCCTGCAAGTCAACCAGAAGTGAAGGAACTGCACGGCTCACGACATCCGGGCATGTCAGCGGGTGAAGAATGAGCAAGAGCTTAACGAGCGGCGGAAGAAACTGCGCGGGAAGCGTCAACTTGAAGATGCCACCTGGCCCGAGAAACGAAAGGGGAGTGCCCACATTGGCTGAGATGTGGAAGCGCCCAAACAAGCAACCCGCGTGCTTGGGGGTGTGTGGCTGCTTGTTTGCCTGCAGGTGAGGAAGATGCTCCTTTGTCCGCAGAGCTTGGAAGTTTTTGGGGAAGTTGATGGCGTGTTCTGCTGCACCTGCATAGCTTAGTGACTTACTTGCACGTGCTTTCCAGATTCGCATCTTGCGCAAGGTGCGTGCGAAAGAGGTGGCCTTTTGGCAAGCGGGTGCTGACGTGTTTCAGCTTACGTTCAAGACGGTCCGGGCTGACACCTTGTTTTTCCCGAATTCCATGATAGCGGAGGGCCGCAACTATCTCTTTGCAGCTGCCTCCTACGTGGAGCTGCAGATGGGCCCACCTGCTTGATTCATGTTTTTTCTTCGTCGCTCACAGATTAAGCACTGCTCAGCAAGCTTCTCAGCACCGACTGCAGCCCAGGCTACCGGTACACGTACTACTGCTTCTTCGACGCAGACACCGCGCTCGAGGACTGGCATGCGGGATGGCGCAAGTTCGAGAGCTTCCTGCGTGAGTGGGAGCCGGCCGTGGGCTTGCCGACTCTGGATGCGTACAGAGCCTTGCCGTAGTAAAGAGATTAGGCTCTCTGCGGAGCTGGATTTCTGCTAGACTAGCCCCTAAACCCTAAACCCTAAACCCTAAACCCTAAACCCTAAACCCTAAACCCTAGACCCTAAACCTAAACTTGTCTGGATCACTTCCGAATCTTGACCCTCTGAGGCAACATCCTGAATTCCTATCGCAAGGACGACCGGGCCATGGTGAGAACTGTTCTAAACTTTGACCATACTGTGGAAGCCGTGCACTCGGATGCTGCAAAGTGGCTGCTGCCATATGCTGCCTGGCCATGAGGGTGCCTTCTAGATTCTCGCAGAGTGAGATAGCCTGGTGAGAGAAGAACGAATCAGCAGAGGAGTTAGCTCTTCTGTGCCGATCGGCCCTTTTTTATGCTAGGCCACTTTCATGCTGCTGTGCTGCGAGTGGTTGCCGAGGTTCTTGACCACGACGAGGGCTGCCAGTGGGTTTCTCAATGGCGATTTGCCTCCCTAGCAAACGCTTTGTTCCCGGAGCACGTCTTGTTGACGCACCACGTTGAGATCGAGAACACGGCGCACGGCAACTACAACAAGGACTGCTGAGCTAGCGCGAAGAAACGATGGTCCCCTTCAATCGGTCGCCTGAGCTTCCCTGATCTTACCTGGGAGTCTTTCCAGAAACAGGGGTTTGCGACAACAAGGGACCCCGAATATAGCCCCCCAGATAGTAGGATTCCCTTTAAGACAAGGACCCCCCAAAAAAGGTGCCCCCTAATTTCGGAAACAGGACTACTGCCTGGAGCTCATGATGAAGGCCACCCTGGAGCTGCGCGAGCGACTGCCAGAGGCCGCCAGCTGCTTCGTGGAGCCCCGGAACGAGGCCGTGATGCTGAACGGGGCGCTGCGGCTCTCCGCCTACCTCCCCTGGGGGAGGGCCCTCAGGCGCGGCGAGGCCGAGCCGGAGAGGCGCTTCTACGGGGGCGAGGCGATCATGCGGGAGCTGCGCAGCTGCGAGGGCCAGCCTGCTGTGCAGGCCATGAGCCAGCAGGCCTCCTACTCCTGGTGCCGGGGCTGCCCCATGAGCCTGACCTTCGGAATCTTGCAGAGCATTGTGGTACAGCGGCCCTACGAGGCAAGGGGTCGGAACATCCCTGAAGCTCCCCTTAGAGCTCTCCTTAGTTTGTGCTTCCCAAGTTCGCCTCGGGAGCCGAAGTCTCGGGAGCTGAGCATCGAAGGGGTCGCTGCAGTCAGCACTCGTCACATCACCTGCATAGGGAATTTGCAGGCTGGTGGGGGGGGGGGCCGTGGGCGGGGGGGATACGTGGGGGGCTTCTTTGCGGGTTAGGGGAGGAGGGTTCGGAGGAAGTCAGCGATCATCACGGGCTCACGTTTTGAGCGATGGTCGGCCAGCAGGCCCTCTCTCCTTTCATCCTCTTTCCTTCGATGAATCTCACAATCTTTTTTGTTCCCCCCTCTCCCTCTTTTCTGTTTCTCTTTTCGGTGGACTCTTTCAATGTTCCTACCAGTGACAATGACATGTGTTGAAGTGTTGCGCAAGCGAGTTCGTTGGCTGGCTGCGCCTGGCTGACTTCCTCGCTTGGACCGTGGTCAAGCGCGACGACCTACTGGTCTCGGAGATCTGCCTCAGCGTCGCGGTGCGGGTGGTGCGTTGCCTCTCGGGGATCGACGGCACTCGCGTCTCATGGGAGGACAGTCCGAACCCTAAACCCTAAACCCTAAACCCTAAACTCTAAACCCTAAACCCTAAACCCTAAACCCATGAAACTGTCAGCGCTTTCAGTGTGCAGAGGGTAGCATCGGGTGCGGCAGCAGGAGCTCAGGCAGTTCCACGCTGCCCATGTGGCGCCAGCGCCTTATGGGGAGAGGTTGAAGGTCAACCCGGAGGACGCTGCATGATTGAGTACTTTTCCGATCTTCGCTCCAGAACTACGTCTGAGGTTCGGAATCCACATGGAGCCCAACGAAGAAACCATTCAGGACTGAATATGAGGTGTTGGAGTTCTTGTTATTTCTGTGAATAGCAAGTACTATATACTATAGACATATTAGTATCAACATTATATGCATAGAATCCTTGGCACGTATGCATCTACATCTTCACGCTGATCGAAGTCGCCCCTTAAGCGGCCATATCATCTCTTCCGGTGGGCTGTAGCGCTGGCTTAGTAAACGCCTTCTATCCTGCCAATCCCGAGCCAATCTGTAAGAACATGAGAATGCACAAAAGATGCTGGTGTTTAGTGCCATCGGCTCCAGGAGATTGAGCGCCTCACCTTGATCCCCTCCCGCCGAGGCGCACGGGGCTTTGGGGGCAAGCGGGACTCTGTGTTTCTGAGCCTATGGGATCCCTGCCGTGGATGTAAATCTTCAGTTCTAAGCCCGACACCTCAGTGTGACGGAGAGCTTAACAGTCAGTCAGCAAGCTTGCAAGAAGTCCTAAACCCCTGAACCCCAGAGCCCTAAAAACCCCTGTACACTGCAGCGGATCTGATTGCATTCGGGCTGGAGCAACTAGCCTCTGCAGCCCTCACCAGAACCCCAGGCCCCTTCACTCCCCTTTACTAAACCGCAACGTCGCCTGAATCACCTAAATCCCCCAGACCCCTAAACCCTAAAACCCCAGGTTTGCTAGATCCATCGCCCCCCTTGCAGATCTTGTGATCATCGCTGTGCGCCTCGCAGTGACGCCGCAAGGCCATGGCCAGGTTTAGAGTTCTTGGGTTATAGGGGTTCGAGGTTTTACAATAGGGTTTAGAGGGTGAAAGGGTAGGCTTCAAGAATCTAGGGGAGGGGGCCATAGGGTTTAGGGGTTTGGGGTTTGGGGTGATGCTTGAGATAGCAATGATGGGTTTTCATCTTCTAGGGTTTGTGTATGTAGTTTCAAAAACGTTTCAAGTTACAGGATTCAGAGTTGCAGGATGGAAAGCCATGTTTAAAGTTTAGGGTTGAACCCGTTGCGCCAAGTTACCTTCGTGCCATGACGGCCCATCACGGTCCTCTTCCCTCCCCACCCTTCCACACGCGTCGACCAAAGGCGATGAGATCGAGCCGGTTTCACTGATGGCGAAGGACCAAGCAGAGCTTCTCGGATGCTTATGGTCGCAGTCACCAGCCAATGTAAACTGCAGCTTGCTCAACACCGCCATCATCATCCGTCATCCACCATTCGCCATCCATCCATCCACCTGTCCATCCACAATCCATCACCCGTCATCCGTCATCGTCATCATCATCATCATCATCATCATCATCATCACCACCGTAATAAACTAATAGTCTCACAGTTACTACAAGAATGATTGCCATCACCATCCGCATCATAGCCATCATCGTCATCATCACCGTCGTAATCAAAACAATCGCACAACAATGCACCAGCAGCTCCAGCAGCACCAGCGCCAGCACCAGCACCAGCAGCACCACGTCATGGTCACGGTCACAGTCATGGTTCTCCTCCTCATCACCATCGCCAGCATTGACAGTGTGAGGCCACGTGAAAATAACGACAGAGAGTCGAAGCGCCAAGGACTTTTGTGGACTGGCTCCTTCATTGTCCTGCAGCTGGCGGTACTTAAAAACGGCGGTTCGGTTGTCCAAAGTTGGGTCTCCTTCTGGGCGGCCGCGACTGTAGAACAAAACCTATTCTTTGTTGGCTGGTACTATCCCACCCCTTGGGTAACTTACATCACAGTAGGTGTTGGGTTCTTCAGATGCAAAAGGGCCACAGGAATGGATCCTGAGTTCAGATCATCCAAGCATGGCCTCCGAATGGGGCCCTCGAGAAGGAACTCCCCATCGATGCGATGCTACGTTCATGGATCTAGATTTCAGACAAACGCGTGCCAGAGTTTTTGCCAGGGGGCGCTTCACGGACGGCGTTGCTTTGTGCAGCGCATGTTTTTTTTCGAGGGCGTTTGTCTGCGTCATGCTAGCTCAGTGGAGTTGGGCATGGCCCGCTTTTGTGCTCAGCTCCATTATCAGGGATAGAAGTTGGCATGCCACGCAGCTCAGCAGCTAAGCCCAAGACATGACCAAAACCACGAAACCTGTATAACATACATAACATCCTGTATAACAAAAGCCCACATCTGCTGCACAGCGTGTTTTGGCAGCCTCCATGGATGTGGGCGACGTGGAAGAGCCGGCGCCAGTGGCCGGGTCCCGCGCGCTGCGTGCCTGCCGCGGGGAGTTCCGGTTTGCATGGGAGGCCGGGTGAGGCCAAGCTCCACATTTGGGGGGGGTTTTCGCATCATGGCCTCTTTAGGAGGCTACCCCCTAATATTTTTTTGCCTTGCGCATGGTATAATGACGAAAAACCGCAGCCGAGATGTTTCTGGTTGCTCAGAGCTCGCCGTGCGATTTCCCGCGAGGAGTCGGAAGAGCTCATGCTGGAGTTTGCCGCGCACGTGCCAGCTTGGCGGCAGCTCTCACACAGCGAGCTACGAAGACATCGCCTCCTGCGCCTGAACCCCCTGTGGTTCCTTTGCATCCTGGGCTGCGCCTGCTGCATCCTGCTGGGGCACGGCTTCCACTCCGTGTTCTGCCAGGGAGGGGCCGTGCGCGCCGATGAGTTCGAGGCCCTAAACCCTAAACCCTAAACCCTAAACCCTAAACCCTAAACCCTAAACCCTAAACCCTAAACCCTAAACCCTAAAACGTAACACCAAAACTACCATCTCAGACTGCGCAGTGGCAAAGACAAGTGCACATTGTCTGACCTAGATGCTGTGAGAACCTCTAGGTTCAGCATCTGCAGTGCCGATCCGTCGAGTTCCTTGTGTGCTCTTTTTGGTTATCTCGGTGGCTTGCTTGGTCTTGTGGTTTCTCGTGCTTTCTGGGCATCGTAGTTGCATCCAGCGTGCCTGTTCCATGGGTCCCACGAAACGCCACCAGGTGGAGCGGAGGGCGCGTATCTGGTGGGTCTACTGCTACTCTGGAGGCTTCGTGGGGACGGTGCTGGTGGACATCGTCGCTCTGCTCAGCGCGCTGGCCAGCGATGGCGACGCGGAGGACGGGAGGAAGTCTCCCATATGTGGTAAAAGCAGCTTAAGAGCCGAAAGTGGAGAGCGCAACATAGCCCCTTTTAGCCCCAGGAGCGCAACCGTACCATCCGCTCCTGCGTAGTGGCCATCCTGATCCAGCTCTGGCCCTTTGCCTGATTTTTTCTTTCCCTACGCCATCGAAGAGCCCCTAAACACCCCAAACACCTTAAAGACCCTAAAGACCCCAAACATCCTAAACATCCTAAACATCCTAAACATCCTAAGCATCCTAAACATCCTAAACATCCTAAACATCCTCAAGCCCCAAATTGCCCCAAATTTTGCGGCTTCTTCCGGGAGAGGTACATGATCGGAGACTTGCACCTGCTCTTCAGGATGAGCCGACGCCTTCAGAGCAAGTTCCGAGAAGGGCCCCCCCCCCCCCCCACTGCAAACCTTGAAAGAGGATTTCAGTGGTTTAGGGTTTAGGGTTTAGGATTAGGGTTTAGGGTTTAGGGTTTAGGGTTTAGGGTTTAGGGCTCTTACGAGGCGCCTTTGATCCACCCGGATCTAAGTCATTCAGCCGAGCTCGCGCTCCAGGAAGGGATCGGGGGATTTTAGGGGTGGCGTGGATGCACGGCCGGTCGCAACTCGTATCCCTGCCGCATAGTCACCTGATGGCGCATCCATGACTGGAACAGGATATTTTCGAAAGCTCATCCGACCCTTAGAACCTCCGATTCTTAGGGACTTAGGGAAGGTCACCCGAAATCAGAAACTGGAGCTCTCGACTGGCAAGCTGTGGGTTTCCTGACACGGTTTGGAGGAGGGTGCGACCTTGAAGAAAGGGGGGGGTAGTTGCTCGAACCGGAACCTGAACCGAACTGAAACTGACAATCACCCGGAGCCCGAACCCGAGGAAAGGACACCGTCCTCATGCACGCCTCCGCCATCAGCCGCGTAACGTTCGGAGCGGCCTTTCTGGTGACGTCCGGAGCTCAGCCTGTGGAAGAGCAGAGGAGAAGCCAGGGTCTTTGAATATTTGGAGGCTCATGGGTACTTCTAAGTAGGGTTACAAGTAGGGTAACCATGTTTACAACTGTCTTCAGGGTACTGACAACTCCACTTATAAAGTGACCATGAACCTTCAAGTAGGGCGACTTCAAAGGGGGCTGCTGTCTCCCTAAACCCTAAACCCTAAACCCTAAACCCTAAACCCTAAACCCTAAACCCTAAACCCTAAGCCCTAAACCGTAAATCCCAAACCCCAAACCCCAAACCCCAAACCCTAAATTATCAGCCCTGCGTGAGGTTTGCCATCGGCCTCCTCACTCCTGCCGGCCAGGCGGTCTTCCACCGCTGGGCCGAAGGCAGACCAGACCCCAAGGCCCGGGGGGGACTTCAATGCCGCCCCTCAACCCTGTAAAGCCGATAAACACTATAATTGATGATAATCCCTGTAGACCTCATAAACCTCATAAAACCCTATCAACCCTATGCAACCCAATAGACACTGTAAACCCTGTAAACCCTGTAAACCCTGTAAACCCTCAACCCGAAACAAAAAAAACCATAAACCCCTCTCGCAAGGTGCTCTCCTTTGTTGTTGTACATGGGCGTTTTCTTCTTTCATTTTTGGTTTTTTCCTTTCCCATTTTTTTTTTTCTCAGTTTCGCCTGCGGACTCTCCGCAAGCGCGCCCAGGAAGGGGGCCCACCCGGGCCACCCCCGCCGCGAGAGACCGCCACTTGGCTCCGTCCAGGAGTCTCGCAGCTCTGGGCGACTTTTGGGTGTGGGGTTCAGGGTTTTAGGGTTTTGAGGACTTGGGCTTCAGGGTTTTTGGGTTCAGGGTTCAGGGTTTTAGGGTTTTTGGGTTTAGGGTTCAGGGTTTAGGATTTAGGGTTCATAGGGTTTGTAGGGTTTAGAGGCATTGGTCCAGCAAAGGCGATCACCTGGATGATCCGTCTCGCCTTCTGCCTCTTCATGGTGGTGGCTTACCTGGGTGCCCTTGCTGCGCTAGAGAGTTTTCTCGGCTCGCCGAACCCCCAGACTCCCCTACTCCGTGCGCTACAAGGGAGTCTACGAAAATAAGCGACCCCTATACTGGACCCCCAAAGAGTAGGATTCCCTTATGATAAGGACATACCCCAAACAGCTACCCTAATTTCGGAGACTCCCACATGCACCCGTATGCCGTATGCGGAACGAGAATGAGCTTCGCTGGCAGTAGGCCGGCACGCTCGCACAGCCTAGGGTAAGTCAGAGGAGCTGCCAAAGTGCCTGCTTTGGCATAGGGCCCTTAAAACAGTTAGTTCCCTAGAGATGATAAACTTAAATGCCAAACCCCAAACCCTAAACCCCAAACCCTGAACCCTCACACCCCAGAATGTGAGGCTACACGCCGCTGCTTGAGCTGGACTACAGCGACGCAGAGCCCCTGGCGCAGAACGCAGCCCAGCGCGGCATCTGGAAGCTGAAGGCGCCGAAGGGAAGGGTGTTTGGTCAGGGTTTAGGGTTTAGGGTTCAGGGTGTAGGGTTTAGGGTTTAGGTTTCAGGTGGTTCAGGGTTTAGGGCTGACCTGCTAGAGCCTTTACATACTAATCAGTACTGAAGAGTATGACGAGTTCCTGGGGGCGACCGCGGTTTTCGCGTACACGATCGCATGTGGTCCCTCCCGATTGCGAATTGACGCGGATGCCGTGCGAACGCCTCACGAACGGCGCTGCGCGCCCGCTCGCGAACGCCTCGCGCTGTCCGAAGGCTTCCGGACTGTGAAATTATGCAGCTGGACCAAAGCATTCTCAGGAATTCTATAGAGAGAGAATCGTTACCGCGAAACAGGTTTTAGGGCGTAGGGCTTAGGCTTGGCATTTAGGGTTCGGGGCTTCGGACTTACGTAGGAGAAGAAAGCCCGATTGGCGGTTTTCGTGGTGGTTTTCGGTTCCACTCCCTAAACCCTAAACCCTAAACCCTGAATTGACCCTGGACCAACCCTAAACCCTCAACCCTCAACCCTCAAACCCCAAACCCTAAACCCCAAACCCTAAACCCTAAACCTTCCTGAGGTGGCCTTGGTGGCTGGAGCCACTTGGACCAGACATGTGTTGGCACAAGCGAATGGAAGAAACCGTGCGATGCCTCAGGAGCCTCAAGCTCATGCATACCTAAGCCCATGAGCCCTAAAGACTAAACACTAAACTCTAAACCCCCTGAACTTTAAACCCCAAACTGTCAACCCTAAACCCTAAACTGTTCACCCTAAACCCTAAACCCCCTGAACTTTAAACCCTAAACCCTAAACCCGAAGCCCAGCTCAACAGGTCGTGGTGCTGGCCGCCGAAGGCTTCATGTTCTCTAGAGGGCCTGGGCTCTACATGCTCGCAGCGCAGCCGTTCTTCGTACTTGGCACGGCGTACCTCATGGAGGACTCTTTACTGAAGGCGGCTCACGAACCTTTGTATGGGAAGTTACGACAACGAGGGACCCCTAACATAGACTCCAAATGAAGGTACCCCTAATTTCGGAAACCCCATCATGCGGAGCTGGTTCGGGGGGGCTTATAAGCAGAGGATCCTAATGGCTACAGAGCACCGGGCCTCCAGTCGAGGACGGAAGGCTCAGTGCCCGGCGGCTACTGGCTGCGCTGAGTGCCTCGGCTGTGTAAATACCGACAGCCGGCGGACCTGCAGAGCCTCTTTCAAATGTGGGGGGTTTAGGGTTTAGGGTTTAGGGTTTAGGGTTTAGGGTTTAGGGTTTAGGGTTTAGGGTTTAGGGTTTAGGGTTTAGGGTTTAGGGCTTGGGGCAGAAGAAGGGGCTCCTAATTTTCACCCCACAAGTAGTAGGATTCCCTTATAACAAGTACCCCAATAAGGCAAGCCTAAATTCGGAAACCCCCATGTGGGCACCCTTGACATGTGAGGCTTTAGCAGATCGCTTCGCTTTCCTTCCAGAGGTAGATGGAAGTCGCCAAACCCTAAACCCCAAACCCCAAACCCCAAACCCTAAACCCTAAACCTTAAACCCTAAACCCTAAACCTAAACCCTAAAGCGGAATCGAGCTGCGGCCACCCAGGTGCTTTGCTGCCTTTCGTTGTGGTTGGCAGTGGCTTTGCAGCCTGTGGGCCTGCACTTTGGGAGATTCTGGCGGGCAAGTGAGTGTTGGCTTCTATAGAGTTTAGAGGGTTTAGGGTTTAGGGTTTAGGGTTTAGGGTTTTTGGAGTGCGTGAGGGGTTTATAGGTGTGTGCGTGTGCTTCTACGGTCTTGACGCGCGGCTGGTCAAGCCAGCGTTCTTCTGTAGTCGTTTTCAGCTTCACCATGCCAAGCATGGTGAGGATGCGCAGGAAGGCTCTTAGCCATGGCGCTTATCAGGATACGGACCTGGCGCTCATGCCGGCGTTAATGTGCCTACTAAGTTCGAACTTGTGGAGAGGCATGTTTTGAAGCTGAACATGACGGATTTCGTACCATGCGCCCGACCCCCCTGCGACAGGCGCAGTCACGAGGATCAGGCCTGCGGCCGCTGTGCCCGAAATGTCTATCGAAAGACCACGTGATCACCCCCTAGGGGCAGGAGTCGGGGTAAACTGCAAGAGTCATAAGAGATAGGAAGCAGGAAGGGGCATGGACACCCGGGTGGCTTGGGGACGAACCAATGGTGGGACGCGCAGCATCAAAAGGTCGCTCGAAAGGACGAGGACATCGCAGAGCGTGACAAGAACATCTTGTGCCGTGCTCAGCTTGTGGGGCCAGAGGACAGGAAGTCCTACTGTACATGAGTATTATTGTTATTCTTGTTCTTGTTCTTATTCTTATTCTTATTCTTATTCGTATTCTTATTCTTATTCTTATTCTTATTATTACTATTATTCTTATTATTACTATTATTCTTCTTATTATTATTATCACTATCATTACTATTGTTATGATTGTTAGTGGTCATCGTAGTAACTGGAAGCTGCAGTAGCTCAGGCATCTCCAAGCCAGACTGGATGGCCTCGAGCAGGAAGCTTTGGTGAAGGCCAGCTGCCCCACTTTACCGTGCGCTGGGGATGCACAGTGGGCTGTGATACCCTGTAATCCCATAAAAGGCCCATTATACCCTTAGTAATCCCTAAAGAGGCCCTTTACAGGGTTCATTATGGGGATTATGAGGCCTAACCGCCCATCCTGTGATGCAGAGTGACATGAACCCTACGCCGAAAACCATTCCAGAAGGACGACTGGTGCCGCAAACGCGACGAGGCGGCGATGCTGTCTCCATGTGGGCTGGTTACCATGTGGTTTGTTGCACATACGGGTGGCTGTCAGCCCTAAATACTAGGTGCCGTATTATAATCGGGATCCCAAAAAGGGACCATAATGTTGACAACCACCCATATGCATGTGTACACACATATATATATATATGTAGTTACACATGCTTGCATATCGCAGTCCCATCTTGGCTCGCGTCTCGCGCTTCATCGTGCCATCCGAGCTTGGCCATTCGCTTCCGTTTGGTTTGGGACAGAATGGGTTGCAAGACAAGCAAGAGGCTCGGCTGCAAAAAAGAATCTGGCACGGTCCAGCATGAGCTTGCAGTAACATCGATATCTTTGCAGATGGCGCGCGCCGCATGGTGTGCTAACGTTCCTGGCGTGCCAAGGACGGTTGCCGCCGCCACTGCCCCCGAGAAGGCCCCAGTCCCTGTCGTGGCCTCCGAGTCCAAGGCGTCAACGGAGGCGCGGAGCTTTTGACTAGGGTTTAGGGTTTAGGGTTTAGGGTTTAGGGTTTAGGGTTTAGGGTTTAGGGTAGTTTAGGGTTTAGGGTTTAGTGTTTAGGGTTTAGGGTCGCGCCTGTGTGCCAAAGCATGCCCAGGGTGTGTTGAAGTATGCTCGACGTGAACTTGCCATTCCGCTCCAGATCTGAACTCTCATCATATGTCATCACCTGTCATCACACACCATCATCTGCCATATGTATGTCGTCGGAAGTCATCATAGTCCTTCGATACCCGAAACCCTAAACCCTCAACCCTAAACCCTAAACCCTCAACCTTAAACCCTAAACCCTAAACCCTAAACCCTAAACCCTAAACCCTAAACCCTATGTGAAGTTCAAGTTGGGGAAGCCCAGGCTCCCGGAGAGGATCCCACCGAGGCCACCACCCAGGCTCCGTGTCACGGAGATCTGGGATCTCAAGGGATCTGAAGCCTTTTCGTGTTGAGGATGGTTTAGGGTTTAGGGTTTAGGGGTTTAGGGTTTAGGGTTTAGGGTTTAGGGTTTAGGGTTGAGGGTTGAGGGTTGAGGGTTGAGGGTTGAGGGTTGAGGGTTGAGGGTTGAGGGCGACACCCAAAGAGCCCAATACCCCTTAAATCAGGAATACTCCTTAAATCCTATTCAGGATCCCTAAACCCTAAACCCTAAACCCTAAACCCTAAACCCTAAACCCTATCCCCTAAACCCTAAACCCTATCCCCTAAACCCTAAACCCTATGCAATGTAAGGTCCATTCCCTTATTGGGCTCTCCGGGCACAGGCGAAGATGGAGACCGACACTGTCCAGGCATTCTCCAAGACACACCAAAGGAGTCTCTGAAAATTAAGTAGCGGCAGCATTACCTGATAAAACCCAAAACCCTGTAAACCCTGAACCCTATAAACCCTCAGCCCTATAAACCCTACAAACCCTAAAGCCTCTAAGCCCGAAACTCCTGGACGCCGCAGGTGGATAGGATGGACGTGGAGACTGCCGATGTCCAGGCCGTGTCCAAGGCATGTGCTGGCTGGGTTCCGTTCATCCGAGGTTTTAGGGGTTTCGGGTTTCGGGCTAGGGTTTAGGGTTTAGGGTTTAGGGTTTAGGGTTTAGGGTTATCTCGAATCTTTTCCGGTTTCCCTGAATGAAGAACCCCATGAACACAGCACACCTCTTGCAGGAGGAGGGCCCCAACATGGAGACGGTGGCTGTACCTAGCGGCTGCAATCTCTTCGGCGCCTGCGGTGCCTGAGAGGCCCCCCCCCCCTGCAGTTTAAGCAAGGTTCAGGGTTTAGGGTTGATCATTTTCGGCGAGGTTGGCGAAAGTAGACTCACACTCCGCGAACAGTCTGTTTTGTGGCAAAGGGAGTCTCGATCCTCCCATGCGCTGGCACAGAGTCCGAGCTTTCTCTTGCAGACAGCACGCAAACGCAGACATGTCCAGGCCAATCTGCAGATTGCCTCCGCTTGGCAGCCGACCCTCCAGACCTCCAGCAACCGCTCTGTGTACAGCAGGGCATAGCAGGGCTCTTGCTTGATGGCCAGGTGTCCTGAGCCAGATTTTGCTGCAACACCCAGGCGAAGATGCAACCTGGTAATTCGTTCCGATATGACAGTTTTGCACACGGGCTGCGCGGTTCCGGCCCAGCCTTTGTGTTTAGATCCCGCGTCAACGATGCTTGCAGCGGATCTAACCTTTTGCTCTGAATGATGTGACATGGGACATACCCAAAAGGGCGGTGCTTGGTCTTTATATCTATATATACATATATATGTATATATATATATATATTATATTCATCTTTTCTTTCTGAAATCTTGTGTCGAGGGAGTTCGCTGCCTTATGCTTCTCGTCCAGTGCGAGTTTTTCGGGGTTGACTGCCCTATGGGACGCTGTGGGGCTTGAATTTCTTGAGTGTCCTACACTTGCAAGTGCCCACTCATGGCAGACGTTGTGTGCCCGTGATCAATTCACGATCGCCGTGTTGGTGGTGTGCGCAGCACGTGCAGCTGCTTAGAGTCGCAGCCCGTGGCCCCACACCAACGATGCTTTGTAGTGGGGCGCAGCCTTGGCATCTTCAGAGAGCCCGGAAAGCTTGAAACGGCCGAGCACACGAAGCCTTTCCGCGCATGCCGACCCTGAGAACACGACTCTGCCAGGCCGCGCGGAAGCTGGAGGGCACGCTGCGGAGCGAGCGCAGCGCGTGGGAGGTCCCGAGACTGCCTCTCTTTGATTGTTCCAGCTTTGAGACGCCCTCCTTCTCGAGGCACAGAGCGCGAAGCGCGACCAGGACACGAACCCACGGCTGTGCGAAGTGGCAGTCTCGCTGCAAGCCACGGGCTGAGCAGAAATGCTGATCAGGAGCTCGAGCAGAAGAGCCAGGAGGTCCGAGAACGAGAGAACGAGCTTCGCAAGAAGGACACGACCATCCACTACACCCAGAAAAACCCTGCAAACCCCAGCAAAACCCAGAAAAACCGTGCAAAACCCCAGCAAAACCCCAGCAAAACCCTGCAAGCTGCGAAAACCATGAACCCTAAACGCCGTCTCGAGGCCTTATAAGCAAATTGTGTGGCTCCTCTCTGAAACCCTACACCCTCAGCCCTAAACCCTAAACCCTAAGCTCCGCCCCAGACAGGAGCGGGAGGCGGACTCTCTCAGGGACCAGGCCTCCATGTGTGCTTTTTTTCTCCGAAAGTTAAGGTTTCAGAGTTTAGAGTTAGGGTTCAGGGTTTGGGGTTTGCTGTAATAGATGCTGTGAAGGTTTGGATACGGTATGAGTTCGAAAGCTTCGTGAGGCGCGAAGAGCAGCTCTGGCCCGATTGTGGAGGGCCACTTTTCTCCCACCCCACGCCGTCCGAGGCGGCAAAACCAGCCAAGCCTATTCGGTGTTTCGTGTCAGGAGGGCGGTGTCAGGGTCTAGGGGGGTCCCAGCAAGGTCCCAACAAGGGTTCAGGAAATTGCACACAAGTCCCACAAGGGGTCGCTGTGGGGCCTGGGTCGGTTTGCGGCATCGAGGTCGAGGGGCTTAGGCGCCGCCCCCCCCCCCCCCACTGTAGGGGCGGCCTCGGCCTGAGTTTAGGGTTTGGGGTTCAGGGTTTCGGGATTCGGGTTAGAGTTAGGGTTTAGGGCGGTCAGCGCGGCCAACCTTCTCCGACAGGCCCGCAAGCTCGAAGACCAGGCCGTGCTGTGATGTTTAGGAGTTTTCTTACAGTCTCCAGGGATGTCTGGGAGTTTACTGTAGGATAGAAGTCAGAATTCTTTGGGAGTTTAAGGGTTTAGGGGGCTTAGGGCGTAGGGAATCCTAACCCTAAGCCGAAGCAGCCCGAAGTCTTCTGGTCAGGTCCGCCAAGAGCGGAGAGCCTCCGAGGCGGGCCATCGGGTCGCATCTTGGGATGTTTCCCCCTGAGTCCTTAATAGGGATTAGAGTACCCCAAGAATAGGGATTAGAGTACCCCCAAAAATAGGGATTAGAGTACCCTTAATAGGGATTGTAGTACCCTTCATAGGGATTAGAGTACCCTTAATAGGGATTGTAGTACCCTTAATAGGGATTGTAGTACCCTTAATAGGGATTATAGTACCCTTAATAGGGATTATAAGACCCTTAATGGGGATTGTAGTACCCTTAATAGGGATTATAAGACCCTTAATGGGGATTGTAGTACCCTGAGTAGGGATTGTAGTACCCTTAATAGGGATTATAGTACCCTTAATGGGGATTGTAGTACCCTTAACGGGTTTAGGGTTTCGGGTTTAGGGTTTAGGGTTTTGCGTTTAGGGTTTAGGGTTTCGGGTTTAGGGTTTAGGGTTTCGGCTTCAGGGTTTCGGGTAGCGGGGTTTAGGGTCTATCGAAGCTTCCTTAGGGCTTTCAGCGATACCATGGTCACGGGAGCACCGAGAGCATAGCTTTAAACCCCAAAACCCTAGACCCCCAAACCTTCCGAGCCCATAGAACCCGTGCTGACTCTACGCAACCCTCTACAAAACCCTTTGTATCCTTCCCGACACCCTAAACCCTAAACCCCGCCTGGAAGCCTCAAAGGTGGGAACCACCCCAGCCTTCTTGAGTGTGTTGGGCCCCAGGAGCTGCAGTACAAGAACCAGACCCTGGTGCAGGAGCCGCGCACCCCTGGATAAGGGGTTTAGGGTTTAGGGTTTAGGGTTTAGCCCTTAAAAGGGAACCCTTCTGAACCCTCTTCTGGCTCTCTTAAACAGGGACCTCCCCTCATCTCTTGGTCTTTTTGGGTTGCAAGGGCCCCGCCTCCAAGGCTCCAAAAAAAAGATGAGCCTGGGAGGTTCGCCCCAGAAAGGGGCGCAAATGTCGACTTTAAACAGCCCCAAATCCTGAACGAAAGACAGCGGGAGTAAAGGGGCTTCAGACAGGGACCCCCCCCAAAAAGGGGGCTTCAGATTTTGACCCTCCTGACCCTTAAACCCGACACCCCAAACCCTGCTTCCGCCCTGTTTCCGCGGAACAAAAGGAGCTCCACCTGCGAAACCGCCAGCTCCAGGTGCGCTGTTTGTTTTAGGGTTTAGGGTTTAGGGTTTGGGGTTTAGGGTTTAGGGTATAGGGTTTAGGGTTTGGGGTTTAGGGTTAGGGTTTAGGATTTAGGGTTTAGGGTTTTTCGGGGCCTCTTTTGGATGTCTCTTGCCCAGTTGGGACTTGCAGAGGTGGCTGCGTTCTTGGATTTTGGGTTCAGGGCTCAGGGCCCGAAACCAAAAACCCTAAACCCTAAACCCTAAACCTTAAACCCTAAACCCTAAACCCTAAACCCTAAACCCTAAACCCTCCACCCTAAACCCTAAACCCTAAACCCTAAACCCCAAACCCCAAACCCTAAACCCCAAACCCTTCACCCTTAAACCCAAACCCGAAACCCAGTGTTGAAGATCAGCTCGCCAGGAGCAGTCCGAGGAACTGGCGAAGTTCATCTACGAGCTTGACGCCGCTCAGCCCGGATGATCCGAACCTTGGGGGGGCATCGTTTCGGGTTTATGGTTTAGGGTTTAGGGTTTAGGGTTTAGGGCTTAGGGTGGTGCAGCATCCTTCATATGGTTCGGTGGTCTCTTTAAGTAGGGTGTCTCTGTTTTAGAGGGCATCTGTTCGGGGTTCTTGTTAGGGTATCTAGGGGCTATGTTGAGGCATCCTTCTCCCGGGTACACGAGTAGACACGAGTAGCCTCAGGCACAGACGAGGGGCGACATCCCCAGTGTGATCAAGGAGGTGAGACAGGCCCGGGGATGACGGTCTTGAGAGGATTGCACTAAACCCTAAACCCGAAGCCCGAAGCCCGAAACCCGAAACCCGAAACCCTAAACCCTAAACCCTAAACCCTAAACCCGTGTTCATGTCTCAGGGCACTCGCCAGAGTGCGCTACCAGAGAGACCGTGAAACATCCAAGATGCATGCATACTTTAATGACTTTTCCCGAAACAGGGGAGCCAGTTGTTCCATCCCACCAAAAATGCGACAATCCTTCTTGCTCTACGTGGATCACCATGTCCAGACAGGGCCACTTTGTTAGGACAGGTGTGTGTGTGTGTGTGTGTGTAGCGTGTTTAGGGTTTAGGGTTTAGGGTTTAGGGTTTAGGGTTTAGCAGTATGTACATAGCCACAGCTTTGTTTTTCGACAACCCAAGCTCCCCCCCACGTCCATGAGAGAAGGAGGCTTCGCTCCCTCTGGGGTCGATGCTTTCCCCAGGATCAGCCCTTAAACCCTCAACCCTGAACCCTGAACCCTGAACCCTAAAAACCCTAAAAACCCTAAAAACCCTAAACCCTTAAACCCTTTTCCCTAAGTCGCCCCGAAGGCACGGGAGGAGGATCCGGAGCTCGCGCAGCTCAAGGCAAGTGAATGCCGTGGGAGTCAGAACGTGTCGGGTCCTTCTGGATGGAGGGTTTTCATTAAAACAACCGTTTTTTTTTTTTTTTTTTTTTTAAATAAAAACCCCCTTACTTCGCCTTTAGTTGAACTTTGAACTTTTTGGGTTTCCTTATTTAGTAGGAATACCTTTAGTTGAACTTTGAACTTTTTGGGTTTCCTTATTTAGTAGGAATATTGAAGCTTAACCTTTTTTTCCCCTTGGTTATTGGAGAAGTAAGTCCCCCTGTGTCTCGTGGGCAACAAGCAGCTTCTTCTCCTCCCCAAGCCCTAGAGAGCTCAAGAAGCACGGAAACTCTGCTTTTGCCGTCCTGGGTTTCCGCAGGAGATGCTCGTGAAGTCCGAGCCAGCGGCCCCAGAGGTCTTGTAAGCTTCGGGGGGCTGCGCCCCAAAGTTCCGTTGTTTTCCCAAACTTGGGGTGGCTGGCCCAAATATACGACCAAAATTGGCCCCCACTCCCCCCCCCAAAAAAAGGAACAACAAAATGTGAAGTGATGCTGAAGTAGCGGCGCACGGGCTCATCCTTTGCGCCCAGGGCTGACGTGAAGCTGCTACGCGAGTGGCAGGAGCATGCGCAGGCTCAGAGGTAGCTCCCGCGCGGAGAAGGCGAGGCCTGCTGATGGGATGCGGGTTTTGAAACCACGCGCGTTCTTCGAACACCGTGCAGCCCTCTCCTAAACCCTAATGTTAGAGTCCCTTTAATAAACCCCCCCCCCCCCCAATCTTGTTTTGGTCTCCGGGGTTTGGAGGGGTGGAAAAAATGCGGGGTGTCAATTGAGCCTTGGAGCTCTTTCAAGCCAGCTCAGCTGAAAAGTCTTCTCTGCAATGGAACTCTTAAGCCATTTGCAGTAACATTTTCAATTCCTGGCCGGAAAAATTTTACAATTACCACCCCATTATGATTATCACCGGACCCCCCTATATAGACTTGTTTACCTACATCGGCCCGAAAACCTCCCGTAATGGAAAGTATCTTCGGCTGGGGCCCTCTGGCCCGGCGAATATTACTATTACCACCCCAATTAAAAAAACGACTCTCACATTAAACCCAAAACCCAAAGCCATAAACCCTAAACCCTAAACCTACATCCTAAACCCTAAGCCCTAGAACCCTAAACCCTACACCCTAAACCCCTGGGAGGCGAGATTCAGCTCATGGCTTGCCTCAAAGGCAAGCCGTGCGAGTTGCGCGCTGTGCCGGGTCGTAGGTCTCGCATTTCCCGATTTTGGAACAGTGGACGGAGATCAGCCAGCAGCGACCACGGTTCCAAAAGGCGAATGGGGGACGATGTAGCTGATGTAGCAGAGTTTCACCCATTGCGCAAATTGGCAGAGCGGTGGCAGTGCTTCGTAGGAGGTGTGTACATCTCAAGTTCGCCACACGCAGTTCCCTCGGCACCAGTCCCCCAGAATCACCACGGGGCATCGAGCTCTCGCGGAGCTAAACCCTTAACCCTTAACCCTAAACCCTAAACCCTAAACCCTGAACCCTGAAGCCTGAAGCCTGAAGCCTGAAGCCTGAAGCCTAAACCCTAAACCCTAAACCCTAAACCCTAAACCCTAAACCCTAAACCCCAAAACCCTAAACCCCAAACAGCCTAAACCCAAACCTGGGCCCATGTAGCAGAAGAGAACGGGGGGCACTGCTGTGTGGCATGGTGAAGGGGCCCTGGGGCGCACCCCCTCCCATCCCCTAAACCCTAAACCCTAAACCCTAAACCCTCAACCCTAATCCCTAAACCCTAAACCCTAAACCCTAAACCCTAAACCCTAAACCCTAAACCCTACACCCGTCCCGAGTCCCCTAGATCCTCACGCCAGCACTGCATCAGTTGCGGGTGCATGCCCCGTGCATTTCTTATGAAAGGTGAGAGGGTTTTAATTTGAGTAATTAAGTCTGGGGGCTTCTGTACACATGGGCCGCTTCTCAGCTTCGGATCCCTACCAAGGCGCAGGGTACCCTATCAAAATAGCTGTAGGTTTTCAGGTATGGGGTTTCAGGGGTACTTTATTGGGGTCATTGATCTAGGGGAATCTGTCTATTAATTTGCGGATCCATATTCGAGTTCCGTGTTTCAGTACACTCCCATATTTCAGAGCAAGGTGGAGGAGAAGCGGTACACGTGAGCCCCGAATTCGCAGAGATGCTGGCTTGCTCCACGTTGCTTGGGTCTGTTAATCCCAGACTGCAGCTTCTTGGGAGCTCGTCCAAGCTTCGCGGGCCGGAGTGCAAGACACGGAAAAGATGGCTCTTTGCCTCACTTCGCCACGTCTTCATGGATGCTTCGTATGTTTTCGTATGTTTTCGTATGTTTTCGTGCGCGTAGCTGAAGAGACTTAGAGTCCTTAGCGCTTCAAGGGGCCGCCTGTGTCGCTGGCGGGGTTTCGGCTGACCAGTTTACCTGGGGCGCTGACCTGGAAGGTGTGCCGGGGCTTCAAGGGGCCTCCTGCCAGCGATAGCTTCCGCAATTGCAAGAGCTCCACGAACCAGAACTCAACAAAGCCATGACACCGGTGACGTGGTTCCGTTCCGTAAGCTTGAAGTCATCCCTAACCCCCACCCCCAAACCGTCTGATTCGTCGACACCCTCTGACGGGTTTAGGTCGCCTAAGGTCGCCCTACTAAACCCTAAACCCCAAAACCCAAAACCCTAAACCCTAAACCCTGAACCCTGAACCCTGAACCCCAAACCCCAAACCCTAAACCCTAATTACGAAGTTGTTGGTCTTCCGAAGATCGGAGCCATGACATCAGATGGGCTTCCTTCCCGCCTGGCTCATGTCGAAGGCTGCTTGGGATTCTCCTCGCTGCCTCATGTGGGGGGGAGTTTCGGGTTCGTTCCTAGAGGGTTCCTTGGGGATCACCCCCGCTGCTCCAGGCAGCCTCCATGCTGATTTGGTGCCTCTGTCTGCTGCCTCACATGGTTCTGGCCCTGGCAGGACTGCGCTTGCCCATTTCCACGTGGCGTTCGTGGAAATATGTGAATTCAACCCCAATCCCTAACCCTAAACCCTAAACCCAGACTTGAGACCCGAAGCTTCACGGTGGCAGGAGAGGTACCCCTATTTTGGGAAATGCCCACTTAGCAGTATACACGAGTTCTAAGCTGCCAGGAGAGGGCTTCGCGCCCTGCTGGAGCCGTGGCGGCGGCTTCAACTTCCAGGCGTCTGGGGGCTGGTCCTCTTTCTGCAGGTACATGGGGGAAACCCGAATTTGGGGGTACGTTGTTGGGGTCCTTAGGGAGTCCTGCTACCTGGGGGTAGTAGCAGTCAGAAGAGTTTCGTCGTGAGCTTGCCTGTTTCGCGAGCTCGTGGGCTGAGGCAAAACGAACTCAAGAACAGTGCGCTGGAGCTTTCTCTTTGCCATTTTCCCTCTACGTGCTACTTCTTGTCATAGTCACAGTTCTCGAATGATGAGTACTTGGAGGTTCACGGGTAGGTATATGCGGGGTTAGAAATACCCCAAATAAGGTTAAAACCAGTTCACTATCGTTACCATACTTGAAACCCAGTTACATGAAACCTGAAGTAGCATTGCGGTTGTTGCTACGTACTACATACTATGTCGGTGCTGCCTTGCAGGAGTGTTGTGGCAGCGCCGAGCACGCGCCGAACCCAAGTTGCTTCGACTCTATCTACACCGAGGAGCTCAGCTTGTTCATGTGGGGTTTACGAAAGTAAGGGGCCGCTTAACATAGACCCCCAAATAGTAGGATTCCCTTAAACTGAAGGACCCTAGTCAGGTACCCCTAGTCTCGGAAACGTCCATGTGGGCTCTGAAATTTGTAGAACATGTCGGGGTGTACCCGTGATAGCTAGACAGAGAGGCATAGTTTCTGGTAGCAGAACTTAGAGAACTACCCATGGCAAGGTCCATGTCCTTTGTGCAACCCGCAGGAGCTCTGCTGCATGGAGGCGGACTGGGATGTGGAGGCAGGTTTTCGACAAGCATCGGTTTTTTAGAGAGTTCATAGGGATACTACCCCTATTCGTACTCTGAATATCAATGCTACGAATACTGACACGTCATCTGCGCAGCGACTCACTGATGACCCCAGCTCTGAACAGGAACCCTAAACCCTAAACCCAACAACCTCAAAGCCTCTAGACTCTAAACCCGAAGCCCCAAGAAGAAGACCGCGCCCTGTGCCAGTGCTGGCAGCATGCGCGGCTGCAGCTAGCAGATGTGCAGCGAGTCTTTGAGGCGCAGGTGGCCGCAGCAGGAGGGTTCACCCGGTCTTGTTTCGGTTTTCAGAGGGTTTGTATACTGTCTATTGAGGGTTTGTTGACTGTAGGCTTGGTATAGGGCTTATGCAGGGTTTCGAGGGTGAATATAGGGATATGTAGTCCAAGGTCAGCGTAGAGTTGAAAAGGTGACAAAGGGCTGGGGGGTAGCAGACCTCTCGACAAGCCTCTTGCAACCCTAAACCCTAAACCCTAAATCCTAAACCCTAAACCCTAAACCCTAGACCCTAAACCCTAAACCCTGAACCCTAAACCCTAAACCCCAAACCCCAAACCCCAAAGCCCTTTGCTCACACAGCAGGCTTCTGCTGGCATGGCGAGCTGGGCACAGGTGTGCATTGCTACAGTCTCGAAGGAGTAGCCGCCCGGCTGTTGCAGTGCAGCTTGCGAAGCCTCTAACGCCCGAAGCAAGAAGCCAGTATGACCTCTGCTAACTTGAGAAGCAGCGGAAGCAGCCCAGAAAGTCTTCCAGCTTCTCTGTTGTCCAGATGGACGCCATTCGACGCTACACTGCAGATGACATGCCGGGTCCTCATGAGCTGGAGCTTGGAGGAGCTCTACTTCCCTAGCTATGTCCCAGTGGGGGCGGTCCCTAAACCCTAAACCCTAAACGCTAAACCCTAAACCCTAAGCCCTAAACGCTAAACGCTAAACCCTAAACCCTAAACCCTAAACCCTAAGCCCTAAACCCTAAACCCTCTGGCTCCGAGGCTCCTCTACCTTTTCTGCTGCAACGCCTTCCACAACGAGTACTGCTGGGGCCCGGCCATCCATCAGGCGCCCACGGCCTTGTCTGAGGTATAAACCCTAAACCCGAAACCCGAAACCCTAAACCCTAAACCCTAAACCCTAAACCCTAAACCCTAAACCCTAAACCCTAAACCTTAAACCTTAAACCTTAATCCCTAAACCCTGAACCCTGAACCCTCAACCCTAGCTGCTCTGCCCTTTTGTGGGCTCTGGCCTGGCAGGCACTTCTGCCGGATCCGGATGCATGGGAGGGGGCTGGAGGCCTAGGTGGCGTGAGGCACAGCACAGCACTCTGGGGCCGTTGCCATGGCCCATCGGCTAGCGTGGCTGTGAGTCTGCTGTCGATTCGAGGGGTGATTTCTCAGAGGGTTTAGGGTTTAGGGCGTGCCAGACGGGAGCGCGCTTTGGGAGCGCGCGGTAGTCTGCAGACCTACCCACCCCAAGACCGCCCACTTACAACTCTCAAGGAGTTAAGACCTTTTATTTTTTTTACAAAGCATCACATGAGTCAGCACTCACGCCCTTTTTGGGGATTTCCACAAGGTGCGTGGACCAGGCGCAAAGCTGCAGCAGACGGAAACGAGGCAGGGTCCGTGAAGACAGCTTGGGTTGGCGCGAAGGGGCTAAGGGATGGGCCAGGAACAGAGAAAGGCAGCGAGGCTTGGTTGGCGCGAAGGGGCTCCAGCCAGGAAGACCACACAGTGAACAGCTTGGGTTGGGCAGAGCGCCACGGAAACAGGGCTGGTGTGGCGGATAGCTTGGCTTGGCGCGAAGGGGGTAAGGTGGGGTGCCAAGCGAGGCAGGACAGATTGGGTTGGCGCGAAGGGGCTAAGAGCGCTTCGAAACAGGACACAAACTGGTGCGCGGACAGCTTGGCTTGGCGCAAGGGGGTAAGATGACTCGAACAGGCCAGGGCCAGGGCCAGGCCGCACACTTGTCAGGGTGAGGGTCAGGATCAGGGTCAGGTCAGGGCCAGGGTCAGGGCCAGGGTCAGGGCCAGGCCCAAGAACAGAGTCAGGGGCCACAGCGCGGGGCCAGGCTTGGGGCCAAGGTCAGGGCCAGGCCAGGGCCAGCTGGGTCAGGGCCAGAGCCAGGGCCAGCCAGCCAGAACCAGACAAGACAGGGCCAGGGCCAGGGCCAGGGGCCAGGGCCAGGGGCCAGGGTCAGGGCCAAGGCCAGGGCCAGCAGGGCCAGGGCCAGGGCCAGGGCCAGGGCCAGGGCCAGGGCCAGGGCCAGGGTTAGGGCCAGGGTCCAGCCATTTTTGGCCAAGAGCCCTGCCTGCCCCAACAAAACGGCCCCTGATCCCCTCAGCCCAGCGGACGGGGGTGAGGGACCAGGGGCCGTCCCAGGGGGCCCTCCAATGCAGGACCCAACCAGGTGCGCTTGGGGTTTTGGGGGGTTATAAACAATACAGTGACAACTGCTGACTCGGCCTGTGCTGCCTGGAGGGTAAGCCAGCCTGGAGGCCAGCTCGGTCGCCCGCCTGGGGCTCCCTCGCAGGGTCTCACTGAGCGCTCGACCAGCGCCCGCCTACCCCAAAAGACAAGAGAGTGGGGTGGCGGGCGGGTTTAGGGTTTAGGGTTTAGGGTTTAGGGTTTAGGGTTTAGGGTTTAGGGTTTAGGGCGAGCCACACTAGCCAACACCCGTGAAGCACCAGTGCAAACCCCAGAAGCACTCAGGTCTCTGACATCAGTGCCTGGCACCGGGCTAAGGACTGCCACACCCATCGCATCACTCCAAGCCTGAGCGAGCCCCCACTTTTTAAAGAGGGTTCGAGGTTCAGGGTTTAGGGTTTAGGGTTTAGGGTTTAGGGTTTAGGGTTTAGGGTGTAGGGTTTAGGGTTTAGGGTTTGGGTTTAGGGTTTCGGGGCTTAGGGCAAGCCCCTCCTGCTTTTGGAACGCCCTCAGCCTTGTTCCATCTTGTGGTTTCAGTATCTCTGGGGGCTTGGCTGGGAGCTTTAAGTTGAGGGTTTAGGGTCTAGGGTTTAGGGTTTAGGGTTTCGGGTTTAGGGTTGCGGGTCCTTTCGAATGCGTGGACACCCCAGACTCAGCAAAGGTTTACCGTGCCCTGTCTGGTAATACTTGTGGGAATTTGTCGCTTGGGGCCTGGAGCCTGCCGGTGAAAGTTGTTGGCAAACCTGGGAGTGCGCAGAGGTATCCTCGCTGCTGTTTTCCGAGACTGCGAGGGATGCTGAAGGCGGGTGTGTTACAGCCTGCCCTACGACGAAGTACCACTCCTAGGACATCGAACAGCTATGCCTGGTTGCGGAGTTTCATTAGTGGAACTGGGAGGCGCCGATGCCCGTGTGGATGCGGCGGCAGATCAGCAGGCCGGGCCTCTACTGCCATGGCATGCTGCGTAGTGCCATAGTCCTACTGCCGCATCCGAACTCTTTCTGTGCACACTCTCGTTACGCTGCAAGCAGACCCCATCCATCATGTAATCTGTCCCCTCTAGAGTTGGAGTATGCTTTGCCATATTATATAGAACGTCGAAAGGGTTTTCAGAACTAAAGCAACAACAACTACGATTGTTTTTCTTTTTAGTAGTAGTAGTAGTAGTAGTAGTAGTAGTAGTAGTAGTAGTAGTAGTAGTAGTAGTAGTAGTAGTAGTAGTAGTAGTAGTAGTAGTAGTAGTAGTAGTAGTAGTAGTAGTAGTAGTAGTAGTAGTAGTAGTAGTAGTAGTAGTAGTAGTAGTAGTAGTAGTAGTAGTAGTAGTAGTAGTAGTAGTAGTAGTAAGTAGTAGTAGTAGTCGTAGTCCTAGTAGTAGTAGTAGTAGTAGTAGTAGTAGTAGTAGTAGTAGTAGTAGTAGTAGTAGTAGTAGTAGTAGTAGTAGTAGTAGTAGTAGTAGTACTCCTACTACTGCTACTACTGCTACTACTGCTACTACTGCTACTACTGCTACTACTGCTACTACTGCTACTACTGCTACTACTGCTACTACTGCTACTACTGCTACTACTGCTAATACTGCTACTACTACTGCTACTACTGCTACTACTGCTGCTGCTACTTGATACTACTACTTGCTACTACTACTTGCTACTACTACTTGCTACTGCTACTACTGCCGCTGCCATTGTTATTGCTATTCCTACTGCTGCTCTATTGCTACGTCTGCAGCCTGCTCATAAAACCAGAGGTTGTTGTTGTAGTTGTAGTTCTGCTCAATACGGGCAAAGCATACTCTGCATTTGGGTTCGGGGTGCTCCCGGGCCGAGTAATCGGAATCTTTCTCTGACTCTTGGGGTTTGGGCGGATTTTGGGTTCAGCTGGCAAGTTGAGGGTTGGTTTAGGGGGGAGAGTTTGTGGTCTGTAAGGAAGAAGGGGAGCTCCGTGGCTTCGATTCCCTCAGCCCTCAAACCCGAAATCCCCCCTCCCTTACAGAATGTGATCCCGAAACCCCAAACCCTCAACCCTCAGCCCTAAACCCTAAACCCTAAACCCCAAACCCTAAACCCTCAACCCTCAAAGCGAAAGCTCGGGCAGGGACTTGCGGGCCATGTCCATGCCCGGCCGCCCGGGACTCCCGTGGCCGCCGGCGCCCTACGTTGCAGCCATGAGTTTTGGGGGTTTAGAGAAGGCTTTATTCTAGGGTTTTTTTGGGGGTTTAGAGAAGGCTTTTTAGGGTTTTTTTGGGGTTTAAGCCATGGGTTTTGGGGGTTAGAGAAAGCCTTTTGGGCCTTGTAGAAGGTTGTTAGATGGTTTTTTAATGGGGTTTAGAGAAGGTTTTGTAGGTTTTTTTTAGAAGGTTGTTAGAGGCTTTAGACTTTGGAGGGCTTCAGAGGGTTTAGAAATAGGGTGTATAGGGCGTTTTCAAGCTTGTTAAAGGTTTTTTGAGAGGCTTTCAGAGGGTTTAGAGATAGGGTTTAGGGCATGTTCGGACGCATGGCCTGCCACGTCAGCGGCAGGTCGAAGCAGGCCGGAGGCCCAGCGGAATGGTGAGGCAGGATTCCATGGGCGCCTTCCCCAAGACTCCAGAGCCATGTTTTTCCGAGGATCTACAGCATTTCACTGGCTCCCTGCCAGAGGCCTCCTGTGAAATAAATGTGCAAACAAGCCCCAGGGCGAGGTGATTGGTTGGGGTTCTTGTCCTGCCAGGACGGACAGGAGCCCCACCAAGAGCTGTTCCGCTTCTGCGACTACCATGTTATGGGCGCTGACAAGGCAAAGTGCACTTCTGCGATTTGCCCTGAAAGTGTTTTTAGACACGTTGAACCCTCGCCATGGTGCTGAATAGTCGCGCGTTCTCATGTGGATGGTTCGGCATGGCTTTGGCATATTCGCATGGCCATTGCTGCATGCTTGCGCCATTTCTCGAGCTTCTTGCGAAATCGATTGGCCCAATGGTGCGTCCGAAGCTTACGTCGACCTGGGGCGGTCTTGCACGCCCGGCCGACTTCACCTTTTTATTTGATGCTTCGCCTATGAACGCGCATCATGTGCTGAATCGGAGATTCAGGGGAGTTGGGGCACCCGCCCCTTAGGGTTTAGGGCTTAGGGTTTAGGGTTTAGGGTTAACCCTAAACCCTAAACCCTAAACCCTCAAGGTTTTGCGCAGATTCAGCCAGATGGGGGCGGGCCAGCTCGGTACGCCCTCTTGCAGGCGCATCCCGGGAGAGATGGGGGCAATGGCCGGAGGTGGATCCCTAATCCCTAAACCCTAATCCCTAAAACCTAAACCCTGAACCCTCAAGGACCCTAAACCCTAAACCTAATCCCCTAAACCCGAAACCCTAAACCCTAAACCCTTTGCCCCTGGAAAACTAGCGGCCGCTAGTGTCCGAGCTCGAAGCCCAGCTGTCGATAAGCTGCAAGCTGCCAGGCAGATGGGCCGCCGCCCCAGAGCCGCCTCTACTGTTTAGGGGGGACTACCCTCCATTTGGGGTATGTAAGGGGTACCGGGTACCATTCTGGCATACCTGGGATCAAGGACAGCAACCAGCCCTAAACCCTAAACCCTAAACCCTAAACCTTAAACCCTAAACCCTAAACCCTAAACCCTAGAGTGATCCCTCTCACCGAGGTCCTTCACCGAGGCGGAGGGCTCTCCCTACGAGGGCCTCAAAGACACGGGCCGCAAGGTGCCCTTAGTTTAGGTGGTTTAGGGGTTTTTAGGGGGGTTTAGGGGGTTTAGGGGGGTTTAGGGGGTTTAGGGGGTTTAGGGGTGTAGGAGTTTAGGGCTGAGGGTTTGCGTAACGAGTATCGTGTAATGTGTGGGTGGCTCTCAAAATTACGATCCTTTTTTGGGGTACCCTAAAGTCTAGGTGCCGTATAAAAGTAGGGATCCAAAAAGGACCATAATTTTGGCAACCACCCATGTATGTATAAATAGTAAACAACTAGGTATATGAATATACAGATATAGAAAGATGCAAAACAGGCGTGCGCACATACACCACATGCTATCTACGAAACACGAAAAGCGGAATGCTATGTACTATCCTTGAACCAGAGTCCCATCATTCATTCCCTTCTCTCAGAGTTCTTGCGAGGAACTTCTAGGAACTCCAAGAACTCATCCCATGGTCCCGCAGGTGTCCGTCGGCCGATTCCTGCCGCCCGTGAAGCCGCAGGATCTCCAGTTGCACTAGATGGCACAGCCTCTAAATTGCTAGCCATGGGGTGGTAGCCATCGCGAAGGGGGTGACCATGGGGTGGTAGCCATCGCGAAGGGGGTGCCCCCATACCAAGGGACGTATGCAAAGCTTCGCCTTACTACAGCGTCCAAGTAGCCCCTGGGCCAGGACATCATTTGCATCGGCCAGGGCCTTGAAGCACACGCAAGCTTGGGACTTCCACACAGTTGGTGCCGGCGCTGCATCTCCCTAGGCCTTAACTACCGCGCACATGCTGACGAGCTGAAGCTTCCCTACCCAAAGAATCCGGTGGCGGGACGCTCAGCTGGGTGGGAGGTTGGCGCTCGGGGTACCTCATACTTCGGGTCCCTCATGTTCGTAACCCCCCAAGTGAGTGAATGGATGCCTGTAGGGTGCCTACTGTACCCCCCACTTGTGTCGCCAGGTCTTCATGAAGCCGACAACTTGTGCAGCTGGCCATGGGGACGCGATTGCAGGGCAGCCAAGCATAGTGGCCCAAAAAGCCACATGAACACAAGGATCCTACTATTGGGGCATAAGCTTATGTCGTTGGTATGTAGTTAACACTATCGCCGGTGGAAATATTTAAAAGTCTAACAAAAGTCTTTTGAAAAAGTCTCTCTGGTATTTGGCGCCCGGGGAAAAGTCTGGAAAATGTCTTAAAAAAGTCTTGGCAGGAGTCCTAGAAAAGTCAAAAAGTCTAAACAAAGTCTCGGGGAGGTGGGTGGGGGGGGGGGAGCGGGGAGGGGGGAGCGGGGAGCGGGGAGGGCGGGGAGCGGAGGGGGGGCGGGGGGGGGGGGGGGGGGTGGACCCGAAAATTTTTTGTTCAGACTTTTTTTCAGACATTTTTGTTTAGACTTTTTGAAGATTTTTTAAGACTTTTTTGGACTTTTTTAGATTTGTTTAGACTTTTTTTTGATTTTTTAAACTTTTTTTAGACTTTTTAAAAGACTTTCCAAGGAAGAGTCTCGAACAAGAAAAAAAGTCTAGAACAAGTCTAAAAAAGTCTATCCGCCCTCTCCCCGGAGACTTTTTTTAGACTCTTTCGAGACTTTTGCCTTTGAAAAGTCTAAAAAAAGTCTTTCCGGCACACCCCCCACCCCCTCGCCCGGAGACTCTTTTTTTAGACTTGTTCGAGACTTTTCCTTGGCAAAAGGACTTTTTCTAGACTTTTTCTAGACATTTCAACGACTATCTTGAAGACTCTTCAAAAGACTTTTTAAAGACTTTTGTTAGACTTTTTGAAAACCAATTTGTTCCGAGGACTCTTCAAAAAGACTTTGTTAAGACTTTTTAAATAATCCAAGGTTGTATAGAGTTAACTAGGGAAGCCAACCACAGAAGCATAAGGGCCCCTAAACGGGGGATGCCGACAAGCCCTGTTTGTAGGATCCTTACATTTATGTATGTGCTTCTTTGGGCCCCTAAAGCTCACGCCTGCGCAGTTGGTCAATCGCACCGATCAGGCAGCTTTGCTGGCCTTCGTAGGCCCGCAGCAAACAAAGACAATCATCATACTCCTGGTATGTATATTAACATGCAGAGGATTTACTGGTGTATCTAAAACATGCATAAGCTATTTTTATATACATATGCATATGCTTTTGTCCATGTATATGTGCATGTGTATGTACATGGAGATGTACCCTCACGCATACATACCGTGTGAAGGGGCACAACAACATGGAGCGTGCACAACGGCTCCTTCATCGGATCGTTGCCGAGGCGAAGCCACGCGTCACCGAGAAGATGGACTACGAGGCAGACCCGTCTAAAGTGTTTGGGGTTAGGGTTCAGGGTTTAGGGTTTAGGGTTTAGGGTTTAGGGTTTAGGGTTCAGGGTTTAGGGTTTAGGGTTCGGGCAGGCATTTGAGCGACATCTGGGAGTCTGCGTGGGTATCTACGTGTCACCATATCTAACGGTTAGCGAATAATGTATTTTCTAGCTATTCTACATTCTAGATTATGCTTCTCATATAACAATATAGGGTACTATTGTTTGACATAATATGAAACAGTATACTTTGCGACATCCATGTCGCGAGGTAGAGCTGGCCGTCGTCATCGGCCGCGAGTGCAAGGACTGAGATCCGCACTCAAAACGATGCAAGTCTCAGGGAGCGTCCAGCAACAGGCAGGGTCTAGGGTTTGGGGTTTGGGGTTTAGGGTTTAGGGTTTAGGGTCGTGCAGAAACTTTGCAGTCCCAAGCGATTCCGAAACTTCAGTGAGTCAGCTTTCATCCGCTGACAGGACGTGGCTCCCGAACAGGCCTTGGACTATGTCTTGGGGCGCCCCTGTGGAAGCATCGTGTCCTGTCTAGGTATGTCCATGAGAACTTGATGCCCGCCTCTGACTGCTTCTGTGTCGGAAAGCTTCTTGCATCATGCAAAAAGTCATCCATGAGGTACACGTGCGCGAATGACCTCTCCACCAGAGATTGGCAGAAGCTGCCCGAGATTGCTGGCAGCCTGAACCTTACAGACGATGGGATTTACCCCCTGGTTCTTAGTATGGAAGCCCTTTAAAGGATTATGTAGGGTACCCCATTCCCTCATTCCCTATTGGGAACCAGTCAGACCATCATACAGTCGCTAGCACGAGAGCTGCTGAGACATCCACGTTCTTAACTTCCTCGGGAGATTCTGCCCGAAGATTCTGGTAAGGGGTCCAGTGTTTGTATAAGATTTGCAGCATGAGGGCTTCGGCAACCCTGAACCCTAAACCCCCTAAGGGCCTTGTGTCGCGTTGCATGGGCACTGCAAAGTGCAACGAGGCCAGTGGTGCCGATCGAAGAGCTTCGAGGGGTGCCTTGGAGAAAACAATACAAGAATAGAAATATAGAAAGATGTAAGTAGAATAACAAGATCATCATCATAATAAGGCAGAATAATTACAATAATAAGCATAATCAAAACAACCGAAAATGAAATTCATAATAATGAATGCAGTAATTAGTGCAATATATGTGCATATATATATATATATCTATATACACACATATATATACACACATGTATATAGATTCTTTTTGAATATAGTAATGTGAGAATGTAATCGTATAATTTTGAGCATAAACATATACGAATATACTAGTATTCTCATATTATGAGAAGACAATAGTATCAACACATATAGGAATATACCAGTATTGTCATAAAAAGAGCAGATTTACATCAGAGTATAAGAAGATGTGAACACAATAATCTGCACATGCCGGGCTGAGCGGAGTGGGTTCTTCGGAGAGATGTGAGGTTCGCCCCGCTGGGGCCCGTCTTGGCGACGAAGGCCAGGGGGACACCTACCTTGAAGGGTCATGGTTTAGGGTTTAGGGTTTAGGGTTGAGGGTTTAGGGTTTAGGGTTTAGGGTCATGAGTACTTATAAGTGGGGTGATAAGTACCCTAAAGAAGGTTAGGACATAGTTACCCTACTTTGTTCCCCACTTCCAAGTACCCACGAACCTCCAAGTATCTACTGATTGCTTAAGAGCCATCATATTACTTTGAGAAGGAAATATTTGTTGTTCATTTTCTTGAGGGTTCTGAAGCTCATAGTAGCTATAGGAAAGGAGTAGTGATCCCGGCACAATTTGTGGGCTGTATGGAGTCGCGCGTGATGTACGCCTCCTCTCCCGATACTGCGGTCAACCTGGATCACTTGGGATGTTCTCCCTTATACTAGCAGTCCTCAATCCGGATGAAATACCCCCTGCTATGATCCCTCTTAAGGACGGGTCCTTATACTACCAGTCCTCAATCGGGATGAAAATAACCCCTACTATAATCCCTCTTAAGGACAGGTAGTATACGGGGAACATCCCCAATAATGGATCACGCATCGAACGCAGGACGAAATCCCCGACCCTGGTGCGCTCAGGGCTGGTGCCTCGGGCTTCTCGGGGCTCGCGAAACCTTGGTAGTAGGGTTTAGGGTTTGGGGTTTGAGAGATTCCACAGTGACATGTTCAACATAACATGGGCCGTCCTGCGTGCTTCTGCTTCAGCGCCGGACTTTCTGGAGGTCCAGACGTTTGTGAACGGCGTGCAGATGCAGGACTTTAATGGACTTCAGCTTTGGATGTACAGCTTCTTAGAAGTAGAGTAGGTAACCTTTAACCTTTTTGGGGTAGTATAATCCCCTTATCTTCCCTAAGGTTAACCTTTCGTTCCCCTAGATACTGGGCAACAAAGGCTTCCCAACCCCTAAACCCTAAACCCTAAACCCTAAACCCCTAACCCCTAACCCCTAACCCCTAAACCCTAAACCCTAAACCCTAAAGCCCTGAACCCTAAAGTCCCCAGCACTTGGGGAGGATTCCTCGACCAGGGACCTGATCTTCACAGTGCCGCAGATCATCAGCTTCCTGTCGATAGGGACCAGGCTGCCTGCCTGTCATGGGCCCTTCACTTGTATAGGGGATATAATTTAATGTTTTATATAATTGTTTATAATTTGATTTATTAACATGTTTATGAAGTATTCCATAAGGGAAATATATGGGGTCCCCTTCTAAGGGCCCATGCTGAACAAAAGTGGTAGGGGGACATGAGGTGGGAAATATAAGGGGTCCCCTTTTTCAGGGCGCATGCGGAAGGGACCATGAAACTGCCCCAAGACCATGGGAGGATGGGATGGGATAGCCTGCGAGGTGTTTCGGGTGCCCCCGAGCCTACTCTGCTGCAATGTTGTGCTCAACGTTGCTCTGGTGTTGTGCTCCTAAGCCCTAAAGCCTAAACCCTAAACCCCAAACCCCAAACCCCAAACCCCAAACCCCAAACCCTTTGTTGTGCTCCACTGTTGTGTTCCGTCAGGCTTCTGCCCGGTACCGTGATCCTCACAGGCTGGGGGCGTTTTGTCAGCCAGCGGGTTGTCCCAGCTGCACCTTCCGTGGGGCTACCCTGACTGCGATACTTTTTCTGTCTCATAGTGTGGTATCTGCATTATTTTTAAATTACGTATTTCTTTGTAGTTTTTTATTTTCAAAACATTTGTTATTCTTCATATTTGCAGAGTCGGTGCACTTAGTCAGTTGCTCGAAGTCCGCAGGAACCCCTTTCGGCCCCGAGCTTGGAACGGCCTCGGGGCAAGTTCACCTCCGCTGGTTGGGGTGTTCCCCTTTGTACTAGCAGTCCTTACTAGGGATTATCGTACCCCGCATTATAGTCCCTAATAAGGACTGTTCGTATGAGGGGGAAGATCCCAATCCACTGGGATTCCTGAAGATCATGGGCTTCTATGGCGCCCGCATCTGTGAACCCTAAACCCTAAACCCTAAGCCCCAACTGACTGCAACAGAGGCCTGAACAGTTTAACAGCAGCTCCTCCCGAACTTTACTTCAAGCTTAAGGTACTGAAATAAGAGTTGTATATCTTATATCAGTACAACAAAAACAGCATCATGCTGTTTGTGAAGTCAAACGAGAAGAGAGAACAGAATCTACATGATGATGACCGCGTCTGGGGGAGTCCTGGCGCTTCTCAAGTCTTTGGGGCCACTCCCATTCTGATCCCCATTCTAGGTTTTAGGGTTTAGGGTTTAGGGTTTGGGGTTTAGGGTTTAGGGTCCATTGAAGCTGAGGTGTCGCGGAAGGTCGAAGTCCACAGCCGTGGCTAAAGCTCCTCGCCGTGCACGTGGAGTTTCTGCACACGTTTAGGGTCTAGGGTCTAGGGTCTAGGGCCCCCGCGCGTTCCTTGCGAAGCATCGCGGGGAGATGGTAAAGCAATGTGATTTGCTTTCGTTGTACGAAGATGCTGAGGTCTCCTGAGCTGGCGGAAGCTAGTTCACCGCATTTCCCTGCCTTGCCTGAGGCCAGGTGATCGGGTCGCGGTGGAGGTGGAGGGTGTTGGACGACTGGAAAACACGCAGCAGGCTAAGAATGTGGGGCATTTAGAGTTTAGGGTTAGGGTTTAGGGTTTAGGGTTTAGGGATCTGGTTCGGCAGCTTTGAGTTGTGCCCCGAAACCGCAAAGCAGCCTCAAACCCCCTTTGCATGCCCAGGATCATAGAAGACACGGCCAGCGCCAGCTGCTTCTTCGTAGCAGCGCCGAAGCTTTGAAGCGTAAGGAGCTGGCAGACACGAGACAACGGTAGCTATTTTATTGTGCCGTATGAATGTGTAAATATCTTGGCATTGTTATCGTTCGCATTCTATGATCTTCTTGTTCTCTCTGGTATAAGCTGATGACGCTATTGTAGCATTACAGGATGATATTATATCATGTGGTTGTTGCTGCTCGTAGCAGCCTGGAAAGTTGTAGGCGAGGTGGCCACTTGAACTCACTTGCCATACCTTCGCTGGCGAAGTTGTTAGGGTCTAGGCTGACGTGTCCTCAGTGGATGCTCTGTAGGTAGGTCGTGGAGAGCGATGCCCAACTCGTGCCCCATCCTGCCGCAAAGCAGCTCCGCTGACATGTTCCGAAAGGCAGGCCTAGCAGCAATAGACATGCGAATCGTAGTACTTACTCATGAAATACTGCCATCGTAATATGGGGTTTAGGGTTTAGGGTTTAGGGTTTAGGGTTTAGGGTTTAGGGGCCATTTTTGTCATTTCAGCAGACGGCAGCTCTTGTTGTTGGAACAGCTCAACGGGGGGACGGAGCCATATGCACGAGGAGGGATGTCTCACCACTCTAAGGGAGGTTACACGGTCCCTTAGTATGGCCCCTTGCCTTCTTAAAGGGTTCTGATGTATGGGCCCTTGGCTTTTATGTGGAAAATAAGGGGAAAAAGAAGGGTTCCCCAACTAAGGGCCCATAGTAAGGGACCACGTAACTCCCTTAAGACAGCAGGCGCCATGCCCATGGATTTCAAAAAGCCCTAAACCCTGAACCCCAAACCCTAAACCCTAAACCCTAAGTTCAAAATGCAGCATCCCTTTTGTGCCTTGGGCTGTCGACCCTCTGGTGGCTCTCTTGGTGCCGTGCTCTGTGAGAGAGCTTTAAACCTAAAAGCCCTAAACCCCCCTAAACCCCCCTAAACCCCCCTAAAACCCCCTAAACCCCCCTAAACCCCCCCCTGATCCCCCTTAACCCCCTAAACCCCCCTAAACCTCCCTAAGCCTCCCTAAACCCCCCTAAACCTCCCTAAACCCCCCTAAACCCCTAAACCCCTAAACCCCTAGACTCAACTATACTCAACTCCCCCGAGCGCCTGGTGCCCCTCCTGCGCGTCTCGCAGGTGCGGCACTGCAACTTCACGCGGCGAGGCCATCCTTGGGTTCCGATGCTCCTGAAATTCGATGCCTTGAAAAGAGTGTTGGGGGTAAGGGTTTAGGGTTTAGGGTTTAGGGTTCAGGGTTTAGGGTTTAGGGTTTAGGGTTTAGGGTTTAGGAAGCACATGGGAGTTTTCCAAGAGAGTTGGGGTATATTAAAGGGCACCCCAGATTGGGAAATGCCCCGATTGCTTAAGTGCAGGATACCATCCTCGCAGATACCTGCGTGCCAATGCCTTACTGCAGGGTGCAAGCCATCGCCAGTGCTCAGGATACGAATCCCAAGTCAGCCTTTATGGAATGAGCTTGTGTGGGGGTTTGTGTGGTACCCTAAAACCCTAAACCCTAAACCCTAAACCCTGAACCCTAAACCCTAAACCCTAAACCCTAAGCCCTAAACCCTAAACCCTAAACCCTAAACCCATGCAGAGAAGTACCCCGTGATCCTTTGCACCGCCTCGAGGCCCGCGTCTTTGCCCGGGCCATGACAGTCCTTGCTGCGCGGGGGGAGCTCCCCGATGCAGAGGCCACCCTCCCGGCCTGGGGTTTAGGGTTTAGGGTTTAGGGTTTGGAGTTTGGGGTTTAGGGTTTTAGGGTTTGGAGTTTGGGGTTTAGGGTTTAGGGTTTAGGGTTTGGGGTTTAGGGTTTAGGGTTTGCCGCTCGGTATGAGATGTTCTGAGGCTGCTGAGCACGAGGGTGGGAGGGGTGGTCAGGGTTGGCTGGGACCTTGCTGGACCAAACCAGAAGTGCGACGTTGTCGGTCTCGAGTTCATGCAAAGTCCAAGCCCTGTAAGATCAATGCGGGTCTTCATGTGCAGCCATATCAGCTCTCGCGTCAGAGCTTCGCTTACATGGAAGGGAGGGCTGAGACAGACTCATGCAAACGCGCAGAGAACCTTGAGTCTCGGGGAAGTGGCTCTTCTGCAGCGCAACTCGGCTTCCCACTCCAAGTCGGCAGAGCCCCTCAACCCGGAGAGAACGGAGGATGGTAGCCAGTCTGCGGCCAGCTGCTATAAGCCTCAGCCTGAACAAAAAAATCCCACCCGACCCAACACACGGCTGTGTTTTGCCATGCTGGGCGGGCGTCCAAGCCGCCGGCTGCTGCCGCTGCTTCTCATTTTAGGCGAGACCTGCTGTTGTCGTGATTGCTCAGTGTTCTACAGATGGTTTTGGGGTTTAGGGTTTAGGGGTTTTGTTGCAACCTGAGGTGGGCTAGTTCTGCCTGTCCTTTTGAGGGGCTTTCTTGGAGGTTCATGGGTAGGTATAAGTAGGGTTATAAGTACCTCTAAATAAGGCCATAGACAGTTCGAAGTATAGTTACCCGACTGATAACCCCACTGATAACTGCCCATGAACCTGAACCTTCAAGGTTCTGCGCCGCGCCCTGGCAGAGTGTGGTCATGAATACCAAGGGCTCTCTCTGCCAGGGGTAACATTTAGAAAGTGCTGGTGGTTTTGCGATGGTGCTAAGCAGGGAGTAGTGAGGACGAGGAGTCGCCCACAGATCCGTCTCCTGGAGGCATGCTGGCCCAGATTTTTCCGAGCTTGCCCAGCTTCCTTCAACGAGGCAGTGGCCCCAGAAGATACACCGGAGCACTGTTCTCATCTTCTTGTTCTCATGGTTACCGGTACATATGTGGAAGGGAGGGCCTTGAGAGCACCCACAGAAGCCCTATGTCGGCCCTTTATGAACCCTAAATGTGAGCCCTATTCCTTACCCTGTTCTATGTAAACACCTCCAGAAGCCCTGCATAAGCCCCTTTATGAACCCTAAGCATAGAAACCCTACACCCTACACCCTACACCCTAAATGCCAAACCCTAAACATCCCTAAGCCCTAAACCCCAAACCCCTAAACCCTAAACCCTAAACCCTAAACCCTAAACCCTAAACCCTAAACCCTAGTCCCTTGCTTCGTTCTCTCAGGCTCTGCCTTCTGGGGAGTGCTGGGTGCGGCGGCCTCCCTGCACCCGGGGTCTGCCGAGGCCCGACGGAAGGGGTGCGAAGCCGCAAGGTTCTCAGGGCTCTTGGGCTTTAGGGTTTAGGGTTAGGGTTTAGGGTTTAGGGTTTAATTAGGGTTTAGGGTTGAGGGTTGAGGGTTGAGGGTTGACAGGGTTTAGGGTTTAAGGTGCAGGGTTTAGGTTTTGGAAGGGTTCTCGGGGCGCTAGATGGACCCTTTGCCCGAAAACCCACAAGCCTGTGAACCCTCAACTTAGGTCTCGAGGGAATGCCGGTTCGAAGCACGGTCTGTGGCAGGTGAGTTCTGCTTGGAGCTTAGGGTTGTAAGGTTGACAAGTGAGGGGCAAATCGGCCAATCTACTTGCGCGCCAGGCAGTGGCAGACAGGATGGTTCTTGCCGGAACCGACAAGACTGTGTTTTTGCCTCAGGTGTCCATTCGTCACAGAGCTACCCCAAACCCCAAACCCCTAAACCCTTAAAACCCCGAAACCCCTAAACCCCGAAACCCCTAAACCCCAAACCCGAAACTCAAGGAGTAGGCTGCCCCCCTACAGTTGAGGCGGCGCCTAAGCCCCTCGACCTCGATGGCGCAAGCCGACCCAGGTCGCTCGCCTGCCTCCCACAGCTCGGAGGTCGGTAGCACCCACGATGGAGGGAGGGTGCAGACTGGGGCCTGCCTGGGACCTCTCTGGGACCCCCCCCTCTGACACCCCAAAACCCAACCCGCCTGCCTTCCCTGACACAGGGTGGCTCTCGGACCCAGAAGTTTTTAGAAGTGGACCGTTGCCTTGAGTTTAGGCCTAAACCCTAAAAGGAACAGGTTTGGGTGGGTTTGCTGTGGGAGAAAAGTGGTAAATGGCCTTCCACAATCGGCACAGTTTGGTGCTCCCGAGGCCGCTCTGGACCCCTCCATGGGTGGGCCTGCCGCCTCTTATGCAGCGGCTTGGCATTGTGATTACCACTCTGCTATTATTACTTTATTATTATTATTATTATCATTATTATTATGATTACCATGACTGCTATTCATTGTGTTAATACCAAGATGTTTAATTATGCTATTCTTACCATGCTTACTATTCTTCCTATTTTATTCCTACTACTCTTACTATTCTTATTATTCTTATTATTCTTACTGTCTTATTATTCTTACTATTCTTACTATTCTTACTTTGCCTACTATTATCACTGTTCTTACATGTGTTCGTGCCATTCTTTCTGCTACTACCACGGGTCGGGGCGTAACGTGGGAGTGGTGGAGACAGCGAGTTCCCGCGCATCGCGCGCACGAGGATCGGCGGGTTCTTGCTGGTCATGCTCCTCATCGCCGGTCTGCCGGGGCCTCGCCTGGGCCGGGTGCAAGTGCCGAAGCTTCGGGGTTTAGGGGTTAGGGCGTAGGGTTTAGGGTTTAGGGTTTAGGGTTTAGGGTTTAGGGTTTAGGGTTTAGGGTTTAGGGATCTAGCACTTTCCGAACGCCCTGCCCACTTGCCAAGCCCGTTCCTCGGCTAAGGATACCGTTGCTCAACCCGCCGGCCGAACCGGAGCCCTTGCATGCTGGCATGCAGCTGCACTCGGAGAAGAATAGTAGATTGAGGGTTTAGGGTTTAGGGTTTAGGGTTTAGGGTTTAGGGTTTAGGGTTTAGGGTTTAGGGTTTAGGGTTTAGGGTGTACGGCTAATAGTGGACATAATAAGACTAGTAGTGGTAATGTAATCATGGTGTTACTAATGACATGATAATCGTCTGTTTCATGTGCTTCATGAGTCTCAGTGCACGCCTGTTCTCGCAACATCTTCCATGCAATCGAGGGATGCGCTTTTGCAGGGTTTAGGGTTTAGGGTTTAGGGTTTAGGGTTTAGGGTTTAGGGTTTAGGGTTACGAGAGGAGCCAGTCAAAGAGGAGGAGCCGCCAGCTCCGCTTGGTGCCTCGATGGCAGCGAGCACGCTCAAAACCCCCTCATGCCATCCATTCCCAGATCTTCCAAAAGCCCTTAATTCAGGAATATCCCCTAGTTCATGCTAAGGATCCTTCTTATGAAATTCGGGTCTATTTCTTAGTCAAGAGGTTTTCGGAAGATCTGGGTTCCCAGCCCGTCAAGTCCGTGCCTTGCCGAGGGGTCACCGACGACCTTTTTGCCCCGGGGCGGCGGCGCCGGGCGGCAGCCGCGGCGGCAGCGACTGCCGAGCCCACCGCAGCGGAGGATGCTGACACGCCCGGGAGCCCGGATGGCAGGGCAAGCTCCGGAAGATCGGGCAGGATAATGATTGTGATCATGTAGAAGCGTCTACGGATATACTGCCTATCACTACAGAGCAAGAATGGAACGGCGTAGTGGTCTATCGATGCTGTAGCGATGTCGCGATATACTGATGATGTAAAGCCCTAGACCCCAAGCCCTAACCTACTTGGGGTTCTAGGTGCCCATGAGCCGCCAAGTGTGCCCTAAACCCTAAACCCTAAACCCTAAATCCTAAACCCTAACCCCTGAACCCCAAAAATGAGGGCCGACTTGGAGGAGGCCGAGCCCCTGGAGGAGGCCAAGCCCCGCGGCTCTGCGTGGCAGCGGCTTAAGGACCCTGGGCTGGGAGGCTATCCCTAAACCCTCAACCCTCAACCCTCAACCCTAAACCCTAAACCCTATACCCTAAACCCTAAACCCAGATGAGACACCCAATATCTCTCTCTATATCGGTGGTTGTCAAGATGATGGTCCCTTTTTGGATCCCTTTTACAATACGGCACCTAATGTTTAGGGCACCCCAAAAGGGCTCATCATTTTGACAGCCACCCATATGAAACGAGGTGAATATTTCTGTTCTTGATGACTGTACGTAAGGTTCCTTTTTCATATTGGTGAGTGTGTATCTTGGGTGTCCTCTTGGGGATACATATGATATGGCATGTGTAATTATACAAATGCATTGGAAATCTTGGCCCGCAACAGCCCATGCCAGCCCATGTTTACAGCCCTGGCGCCAGGAGGGTCTCTGATGCAGATGCGCAGCCCCCCCGACGTTTTCCAAGGGCGAACTGTGCTCGCGCCGACTGCAGGTTCCAAAGCAACGGGAATCAGTTTGTCCCCGTGGATCCCAGCATCGGCATCACCGCAAAAGCAATGGCTCCCGCGCTGCCGTGTTTAGGGTGTACGGTTTGTAGGTTGAGGGTTTAGGGTTTAGGGTTAGGGTTTAGGGTTTAGGGTTTAGGGTTTAGGGTTTAGGGTCTAGGGTTCAGGGTTCAGGGTTTAGGGTTTAGGGTTTAGGGTTTAGGGTCAAGGATGAAGAAGGTTTTCGGTTCGGTCACGTGGCGCTGGCATTGGGAGTCGCCTCTAACGTTGGTGATTGGGACCCAGACCTCGCTCCCGCCAATGCTGCCTTTGTAGTCTGCCGATGCCATCTTCTGATCTGCCCCAGAAAGTACAGCCATTTTTCTCAGCGAGGTCCCGAAGCATGACGTTTGGCATCGGTATGCTCTTTTGCGGTGTGCCAGCCAACATCATCCCCGAAGCCGTTTCGCGGCTCGCGACGCGCGTTGCTAGGCCGTCAGTATTCAAGAGGCGCATGGAGCCTA